AATAATTCATGGATCACTAACTAGTATACACCATTATGATTATATCTTTTATGTAAAACATATATTTTTTTCAACTGCTTGTGTTAAAGTGCTTAATAGACATATGACTATATTGGAAGCAAGAGAAAGGTCTAATATACAACTATTTGAAATAAAATACAAATGTAAGGCTCATACATTAAATACACATGAAACACAGCAATGACAAATTTGTCATGTACAACCAATTTTAAGGCAAACATATATTATATGGACCATTTCTGGTTGGCTCAGGAAAGGGTAATAAAATGTTGCCATACAATTTTGTTATCTCTTCACATGTAATTAAAATATCACATTACCAGGTGATTAAGGAAAAAAAAATCCCTCAGTTGCAAAATGTATAACTCTCGCTGAGGTGTTGCAAACATATCAAATTCATGGTATATAGTGAGCATTCAGAAGTATAAAATCGTCAGCACAGCAGATTCTGTAAAATATAAAAATCATATACGCAACACAATGTAAAAATTGTAAACGGCAGATCAATAGCTTTATACCCACATCATACCAATGCGTAGCAGACACAGACTGGCAACAGGCAAACAAAAAAGTTACATTACACTGAATGATCAAAATTTTGATGATTATTGTTCATTATTATTGATTTGGAGTCAATAATATAATGTGAATAGGATACTATGTCCCGCAAAGAAGTAACTGTATAAATAAGAGATACTTATAAGTGATGGTGGTACTATTGAAAATAATAGGAGGCAGTGTGGTGCAGTTGATTGCATTGATCTCCATGTGCAATCAATCACAAAATTCAATTGTATGATCAATTTTTAAGCTTTAAACTTTGTGTTACGATGCCCAGGCAGACATTTACAAACCTGGGTTGAGAGTGGCAAATTGAAAGAGTGGCAATAAAAGTGAACTATAGATGTCAAAACCTTGAGTTGTATTTTTTTCACAATATTTCACATTTTTCTTTTTCCTTTTACATTTCACAATGTTAGACATTTAAAACAATGAAGATTAACATGTACATCGCAAACCATATGAAATTTCAGAAATATGGAAGTCAATATAAATGTTGGCATGTACGGCCAGGGTTCTTGTTAATTTTTCTGATAGCAGGCTATTTATGATTTACAGGAGGCTACTAAAATTGCAAAAGAAAAATCTCTGTGCGCGTAGCGCACATCACCATGTGCGCGAAGCGCACATCACGAGCGCGAAGCGCGAAGTCCCTTGCATTTTTTTGATTAGCAATTAGAAATTTTTTGATTAGCAATTTCAGCTGATGGATAAATATTTCAAATGAAATTCTGTACATTTCTATGGAAGAAAACTGCTACACAAAAGATATTTTGTATAGCAGTCATGCAAAAATGCATAGCAAATTGCGATGCGATACCAGGAAAATTATTCCCTGGTGTATGTGTATAGCGTGCCGCACCGGTTGTGCAGCGCTCGTATTCTGAATCGAATCGTGCATCGCCAAATCAATCACAGTTTCACACTAGGCCTGAGTCAAACTGTTTAACCGACGGTTATCCGACCGCATTCATCAAAACCGTTTAGCATTTCTCGCTCCGGTTAACCGTTATTTGCATACATTTTGGAATGTGCTAATAGCCGATGATAAAGATAATCAAAGAAACCGCAGTGTAATGTTACACCCTGGCCGCTGCGCGCCAGCTTTCTGGCAGCAGTAATTCCCATGAATGAATTTGTAAACAATAAAACAACCAGCCCCCTTCTCTCTTTTCTCACCCTCTTTATTCCCTTCTCTCTGCAATGTGTTCATCGCTCATGTACCTTTTCTTATTACTGCACTCTCAGCTCACAACTTTCTAAATGTTTACACATTCGATGGTCAGTTCCTCTCACATCCCTTCTCCCCCGAGTCTCTCTCTCTCTCTCAATATTAATATCCATCCCTTGCCGACTCGCCCCCTAAAATAATGTTCATATATAAATAAAATACAAAAATATTGATAACAATAATAATTGAATTTTTAGACATATCAATCAACAAAGTCTTGGATATTGTGAGTAATTTAAGTTTTTGATCATTCTTCAATTCTCGCTACCCTAAATAGATACGAAAATCTCGAAATTCGCGAGACGAGGTAATTTTCACTCTCTCGGGTCGTCACTACAACTTCCGGTATAGAGTCCCATCCCGCTGGCGCTAGCGCCTGTGTTCGCTGTGCAGAGTTTTCACGCACGCTAAAATCGATGCCAATCAGTGTAATTTGTACAGATTATAATATGCAATGGAAAGCTTCGGGCAGAATTAGTGACTTTAGCACAAAAGGCCGTTAAACTCTACCGTGAAAGAGAGGGTTGTGATCACGAACGCCTGCACAGGAAGCTGTAATGTCGAAAAGCTATCCCATAATGCAACGCGCGTTTTCAGGATTTTCCCCGGATCTCGGCAGAATCGCTATTTGGGGTAGCGAGAATTCAGCCGATTAACACAGCCATCCTTTCTATCGAGTCTCACTTGTCTTACTTGTCTTACTCATGTCCCTGCCTCGTCCATGCAGGGACATGCAGGGACATGCTAGCCCATGCGTGCTCTCTCAGTCACACACACATGTACACACAAACCTCCGGCGCCCAAATACACTGTACATACACACAGATGGAGAGCTCATGCTTGTCACATGCACACTTGTGGGCGTGGCTTCTTGACCTCCCACTGAACTGGGTACGGTGAAAGCACGCGCGGTCACCAACCTGTAATTTATGCTGGTATCAAACTCCACCCACATAGCTAGAGAACCTTCCTCATTGGTCACTAACTTGGATCAGCTCATTGCAGGGTGTGTCTTGGGTGTGTGTGATACACACTTCCACATAATTTCATATGGCAATGATACATGCAGGGAGCTCTCTCCCTGACCATGTGCAAACATTGCATTGCAAAGGCATATATAAACACTCACAGATCAGCTATCTTCACAGAGTAACTTTGCAAGGTTAATCATGATATCAAGTTCAGATGAGGAATAATAAGACATGTTTTATGTTGTTTATTAGTGGTCTCTGTTTATCAGGATGACCCAATTTGTGCCATAGTCCGGGGCTGGGAATGCTCAGCCCGACAGTCTGAAGACCAGCAGGGTTTGAGATAGGGACTTGACCGAATATGATGTGATTTTTGTATTATTATTATTTTTTTTTGGAGAGGCTTACAGCCGGCTACGATTGCCGTTACAGCCGGAAAAAATAGCCGGTTGCCGGCTATTAACAAGAACCCTGACGGCATATATACAGTATGTACATTAAACATGTTCCAATCCACATACTTGAATTAATTGAAAATGAGTAATCATAATAATATGACACTTTTATAACTCCCTTTTTCCACCAAAACTATTTGTAACATTTTCAAAAATGTAGCTGATTTCAAATCATGAGGAAAAATATGCAGAATTTCATATATTCCTGCTAATAAGTGACATTTTCTATACAAGGGCAAAGTCAATTCACAGCAGATAAATAGCATTGTCTATATCAGGCCTGGTCTATATGTTTAACCAATTTTACTCATGATGAGTGAATCAAATACATGAAATCACTTGAGTGTCAGCAACAATTCCCAAAAAAGGACACCAGATAGTATAAGTGAGGATTTCAATAAGATTTCCCTAATATTGAGGGCTTATCAGGTTTAGCTGAAATCCAACAAGGATTTGAATATTTTCTTGCTGAGAAGAAAACCAAACCCCCTTTACATTTAAAAAAGGGGAAGAATTGATCTTTGTGATGAGTGTATATGCTTCCAATCCAAATAATTTATTTACACTGCTACTTTGCATAATTCTGTAAATAGTTTTTTTGATTTTTGTTCAATAAAGTTTTATTAACAAAAAAATAAAAATGGTTCAATTTTAGTCCACGCGGTGAAGAGCACAGACTTATCCATTTATAGTGCAGCTAGTATTCAAATTGACTTAACTGTGCTCAATACAAATGAGCACATTATCAAATCCAAAGAAAGATATGCACTGATAGGAAATATTAGAATTTAACACTGAAGATTGACAATATAATCATAATCTCGCATGTAATTTACATCACCTGAGACACACACGTTTGATCTGTCTCATAGACTTTACGGTCAGTCTTGAACAGGGACACATTTCAAAATTGGAAGAAAAAAATCAGTTAAATACTAACTACTTACATCACACAGATTCATAATCATATATTAAAAGAATATGAATAAGGTGTGTTCACATAAGACATAATAAACAGTGGCATTCAAGAAAAAAATGATGACATACACATAGTGCGCTTCACATTGCCGTATCTTATAACACACAGGTAGTAGGTACACATAGGACGTTTGTTAAGACAGCTACCTTTTTTTTCCTAACTTGCTGTTCATTTATACACACACCCACAAAAAACAAAGAAAGAAAGAAACCCAACAAATCACAAAGACAGATATGGCATGTGTTATCCTTCATTAAAAACTGAGTACCAGAAGGGCGATAACACTGTGTAAAACAATATTAGTTAACTTAAATGCCCTTCTGGCTCTAAACAGTTGATATAATTGATTTCCACCCAAACAGGGATCTATATGAACCACACATAACCTATGAATATTTATACTTCTCATACATATTCATACTTCTCATACTGTACATATTCATTCTTCTCATACATATTCATTCTTCTCATACATATTCATTCTTCTCATACATGTACATGTTCCTTCTTATACTTCATATAAGAATTCTTCAAATACATATTCCTTCTTATATATACTTCATATAAGAATTCTTCACATACATATTCCTTTTTATACTTCATATATTCATTCTTCTCATACATATTCATTCTTCTCATACATATTCATTCTTTCACACTTCATGTAAGAATTCTTCTCATACATATTCCTTCTTTTACTTCATATAAGATTTCTTCTCATACATATTCCTTCTTATACTTCATATAAGATTTCTTCTCATACATATTCCTTCTTATACTTCATATATTCATTCTTCTCATACATATTGATTCTTCTCATACATATTCATTCTTTCACACTTCATATAAGAATTCTTCTCATACATATTCCTTCTTTTACTTCATATAAGATTTCTTCTCATACATATTCCTTCTTATACTTCATATAAGATTTCTTCTCATACATATTCCTTCTTATACTTCATACAAGAATTCTTCTCATACATGTTCCTTCTTATACTTCATATAAGAATTCTTCTCATACATATTCATTCTTTTATCCTCCTATATTGAATGTTGACTACTTAGCGATCTACATTCTTATCTTGATTTGGTCTTCTCTGTCTACTCTCTGGTGTATTCTCCGTCTCCATCTCCTCCCCTCTGGCTCTTTCTCTCGTCTGCGTCCTTCCCCCTCCTCCTCCACTCCCTACATTCGATGCTCCGCTCTCCTTCTTCTTACAATCCCCTCCATCCGCCGATCCTCCACCTTGATTATCATCATCCATCCCGTCATCATCGTCATCCCCTCCTCCTCCTCCTCCTCCGCTTCTTCGTCTGTCGCTCCTGTCCTCCAAGTAGATGAAGAAGTCGATGTCGTCCCACTGGTCGAACTCCTTACCGACGTAATCGGCATGCAGTCCCTCGAGGTAGCTGAAGAAGAACCCCTTGGCGTCCAGCCCGTACCCCTCCTCGATCTCCAGCCTCTTGAAGTCGATGGCGAGTCCCAGCTTGTTCTGGCAAGGCTGCCCGTCCTTCTGCCCAGTGCACTTTAGGACACCTAGTACAAGATAAACCCAGCACAGATTATAACACCTTTATATGGCACATTTCATACACATTAGACTACAAGTTTAAACAAGACAAATGCAACGCAACGTCGTCTTCTCTATGCATTCGCCCGGTAGATGACAATTCAAATTTGAAGAATTTCTCTTTTGTTGAATGATATAAAAAGGAAAACAAAATCACATTCTTCTTATAATTTAAAGTGGGTTCATGAACTGTGGAGTTAATATCTAATATAAACTTATAAGATTTTATCAGCTTCTTGTTATCATATAAAACACACCTGCACAAAACTGTTTATATTCTCATCTCATGCCATATGTAGGATGAATTTTAAAATTAACCCTCATAAAATTACCCCCAAGGACAACTAACTCCCGTAAAATAATCCCCTAGACCAATTACCCCCTTCCCCCATGGACAATTACCCCTTATGACAATTGCTAAAAGATATCATGTGCGAGCCTCACCCCCCCCCCCCCACCACCTGAGCACACACACACAGGAGGGGGGGGGGGTGGGGGTGATTGTCCTAAGGGGTAATTTTCCACGGGTGGGCAATTGTCCCGCTGGTAATTGGCCAGGTAATGATCGGCTGGGGAGTGATTGTCCAGGGGGTACTTGTCCTATTTTCATATCACAAACAGAATCAGCTTTCGGATGCATATCTTCTTCTTTTTTTTCGATAACCATCTCAATTCCATTTAATTTGATTGAATTCAATTTGAAGAAAAAACCATAACTGAAACCATCTCTTGGAATGTTCTGTTTTGATACAAGTTTAATATCAGGGGGTGTTTCACAAAGATTCTAAGTTGAACTTATCTCTAAGTTGGACTTAACAATTATGGAAAGCCGTTACCATCTATGAAAATATTTTGTAAAAGTTATTTTTTTTAAAAAGCACCAAATGTTGATTCAAATCATTCATATTTTCTATTTTTCAAGGAGATTTTATGTTCTTGAAGACGAAATTATAAAAATTCTAAAATACTTGATTTTTTGCTATTGAATATATTTTATTTAAAGACTGCAAATAGCTCTCCATAATTACATCCAACTTCGAGTAAAGTTCAACTTAGAATCTTTGTGAAACACCCCCAGGTTGGCCTAATACGGATTTGACATACCAGTCGTATCATCATCACTGCCTCTGATGGGTGTGGTCAGTCCGGCGATGCTCAAGCGTTCCTTGATAGACGAGTCCTGGCAGGACACGTGGGTGCCTCGCTTCAGCAGGAAGTGGGCGTTGCAGATGAACTTACGACAGTTCCGGCACACGAGGGTGTAGTCCGCCGCTCGTCGATTGAAGCGTTGGAAGCTGACCACGAAGTCACGTTGGGCGACGCTTCTCAGGCAAGCGAACTGTTTTTATAAAAAGAAGGTTGAGTTTGGATTGTGTTATACAGTGTATGTGTCATAATGATAATAATATTTGGCTTTTATGTCGCTCTTAATACTTCAACAATGGGTCTAAGCGCTTTACAGATATATTATTACCCGGTCATCGGATTCAAGCTTCCCGCACACAATGTATGCACATTCTCCACTCCCTGGGGAGCATTCCAGCCAAGCATAATTTTACAAGCGCACACTTGCTCATCTAACCACATAATGTTATAATGTTGACTTGAAATGAAAAGGTCATGGGTTCGATCCCGACATGGCACTAATGTCCTTTGGCAAGGCATTAATCTAAATTTGCCACTCCATACACAGGGGAGTAATAGGGACCTGGACGGATGACGAATGCCATATGTACCCTAACTGTGACCATATGGTAGGAATATTCCCCTGGGAGTGGAGATGGTGCACATTGTGCGTGAATGAATCCGATGATCGGGTTATTCATATCTGTAAAGGTGCATGGAGACGGTATCACTATGAACATCAGTGACAAAGAAAGCGGACAAAATATACAGTTCCTCAGGTAGACAAAGGAACATCCCTTCACTGCTATTATGTAAAAATGTGTAGAACAGGTGTCACATGGATATTCACCTTTTTACATAATAGCAGTGAAGGGATGTTCCTTTGTCTACCTGAGGAACTGTATATTTTGTCCGCTTTCTTTGTTCGTCATATTCATAGTGTATGTTGTCTTAATCACCATATAAATCCAGATTATTATCATCATAAGTGCACGTGTGCAATCCAGGCTTGACTACGGTGGATGCTTGCTTGGGGGTATCAGTAAAGCAGAACCTGGACAGACTCCGAAGTCTCCCGAATAAGTGTGCTCTGCTAATTTTAGGACGTGCAATACTTAGAAGTTGGCCTACCACACAGAAATGTTGTAGTCGAGTGGTTTAAGCACTTGACTGAAATTCAAAGGTGGTGGTTCAATCCCTGATACAGCACTAATGTCCTTTGGCAAGGCATTAATCTTCATTTGCCACACACGACCCAGGTGAGGTAAATGGGTACCTGGCAGGAATTAACTCCTTGAAATGCTGAAGCGCTGTAATGGCAGCTGGGCTAAAGCCGGGGTAAGGCCAAATGAAATAAAAACATGCTTAACGTCCTGTTTTTTTGAAAAAATAGGGAGGAGGAGGCCCTTTTTTTTTCTTTCAAAATGGCCGCTCAAAATGGCCGCTCGGTACATTTTCCCTGACAGTCGGGCTGTTTTTCAAGATGGACACCGACATTCTTTTTTAATTTAATTTTTTAAAATCAGAAATAGATCCATTTTAGCAATGTTTTTCATGATTTTTTTCTTTAAAAAAAACAAACAAAAATAGGAGCCGGCTCCCCAAAAGGAAGCCGCCGGGGACGCTAAACATGTATATTTGTCTAAACGGCCTAATAACTAATGCGCATTGGAATAGAATTTCTAGATAGACGGCGCTATAGAAATGCCTATAATTAATTAATTACCATATTTACAACCAAATTTCTCTCCATCTCACCTGTTTGTTCTCGACGATGTCATACCAGTGCTTGGCATCCATGTCATTGAGAACCTTGAGGTGTTTCTCGAGTTCCTGCAACGCTTCCCTCTTCGTCTCCTCCTGTCTGCAGATCCTTGTTCCGCTAGATGGGAAAAGATAGCATACAGTTACTTTCATGACCCGACATGTGTTACTGTGACAGTTGTTTGATTTTCAAAGGAGTAGCCCACCCTGATATTAAGTTGGTTAAGCAGAAAAATTAGGAATCAGGTTTAATAGAGTAGGATATTAAATGCAGAGCAACTGTTGCTGAAACAAATACTCTACATTTGTTGAAGAACCAGCGTAATTAGTAACGCTTTGATGTAGTTCTGCATGATCTTTTGAATTTGAATGCTGTGACTCCATTGTACATACAATACATTTATATATGAGCAGAAATAGCGAAACTAACTGCTCAATATGAAAGATTTACCACCACTACTACCGCTACCACTAATGCTACCAATACTAGTACCACTACCTCTACTACTACCAAAGCAACTACCACAACCTTTAATACTATCTTGTCAACTACCACTACTTCTACAAATATCTCCACAACTATCATTACCACTACTACCACTTCCAACTACCAATATCTCTACTACAACCACTACAACTACCATAACTGCTAACAGTACCTCTACCATTCACTCTATTACTACCACTACCCATAACTTATATCTCCACAAGTACCACTATTACCATTACCACTTCCACTACCATTACTGCTGCCAGTACCACTACCTCTAATACCACCGCTTCCAACTACAAATACACCTACTACTACCACTACAACTACCATTACTACTACCAATACCACTATCATTACTGCTAAAAGTACCTCTATCACTCCCTCTACTACTTCCACTACAACTACCCATACCATATTTTTCCACAACTACCCCGGCAGCTACCATTACCACTACCACTACCTGCTACCAGTACCTTTATCACTACCTTACCACTACCACTACCACAACCACAACTACTCTATTGAAGTACCTCTCTGTGATGAAGAAGCAAGAGCCTTTCTTGGTCTTCTTTCTGCCTGACCAATGGATGGTGCCGGCCTCTTCGCACACAACGTTGTACCGGATCACAAAGTGGCAGTCGGGTAGCTCTAGATCTACCTGCTCAAAGTCCGTGCTGATCACCAAATTGTAATGCCCTGAAACGATAAAAGAAATGAAGGATATATTAGAGCAACAGTAACAACAGCTTTCATCTTACGCCGCCTGCACACTTGTCACATGCACAGAGAATTGCTAACCCTTCGTAACAACTATCCACATAATCCACATTTTACAAGCTCTGCTTTTTAGTGGATCCCACCATTTCCACAGGTTTATCTTTAAAAACACTTTAAAAAAACCCATTATACTGGATATCTATGTATACTTTTTATTTCACAAGTTTAAACCATGTAAAATGTATTAATGGCTAATGGCTTTAAAGTGTTAATGGTGGTGCAGGGTATAAAAAGTGTATTCCAAAATGTTGTTATTTTCAAAAATTCATTACAACTTTAATAATTTCTGGCTCATTTCCATGATCAATTCGTGAACTACCGGTATGAGCAACCTTGGCTCGGCTATTCCGGAACAAAGTCTACCAGCATGTGATAATGCATGAACAGTGCTAAACTTTGGCGTCATCGTAGCATGACAATGTGTGACCTGACTCCACATTGACTCACCCATTAGGGCATGAACTGAACTTATGGCACAACATGGCGTATATTGTATTTTTGGCAGGGAGGAATGCATGACACAAAATGGCACAATGTGGGGGCAGTACGGGACCAAGACTCATGCAAGTCTCAAGTTTTCATTCACACAGTGGAATCTGATTAATTTAGAGAACACTCTAATGCATAACTTTACGTTTAACAAGGTTATTTTGATGGTCTTACTGCGTCATGATTTTTTTTTTTACAGTAAATGGTAGCAATGCTAGAGTGAGTTTAATAGAGATGAGTTTCAAATGTGGAAGACATAAGTTTAATACAAAAACAAACATCACTAATAACTATCATTATAATCATACAATCACACTTCTTTATAAGATGTGGCCCTGGTATTTTGTTCACTTTAGAGTGATGTGACTTGAGTACTGATTTCACAGTACCAGTTATGAGAGTAACCTACTTACCGTCACTTTTAAAGTCTTCCAAGATAACCCTTTGCTGAGCGAGTTTCTGACTCTCCTCCCCATCATCCTCACACTCTCCTATCTCCTCCAGGTGAATTGGATGGATACCCTTATTCAAGGTGATGTTGCTCTCGCTGATGATCTTGGACAGGTACTTGGCAACAGCTGGGCATCGGCAGATCACTAGGCCTACAAGGAGGGAGAGGAAAGGATGGAGATGGAAGGACAGAGAGGGAAGGAAGGACGGTGGAGTGAGAAAAAAAGAGGAAGAGAGATTAATAATGAAGGTAACATAGATGGAGAGAAAGAGAGAGGGAAAATATGAGGAAGATATTAAAAAGTTTTGGAAGGAAAGAAGGAAAAAAAAGGGGAAAATATGAGGTAGAGATTAAAAAATGTATGCCGGAAGGAAGGAGAGAGAAAAAAAGAGGAATAATAAACTAATGAAATGGGTTCATTTTTAAACTTATTTACACACTCAAGCATGAGTTCTTTGATGCACCATCCATTTCCAGAAATAAATTTAATCACAGTGACAAACTGTAATTCTAAATATGGGTGGGATGTCAAAATCCATTGAAATTTCAATCATTTTTGGATTCAAAAGAAGGTGGAGGCCCCCAAAACTGCAGAAATTGAAGGTCAGTTTCTAAGTGTTGATACCGGGGTTTCACAATCGAGAGGCAATTCATAGGAATTGTGAGAATTGATTGATATTAGGAATTTCCATACCCTCTGACGCTTCTGTTCAATGTATGTACATTATATATCATAAACCACGTTGAATAAATGTTTGAATTCATAGGGTAAGTATTGACGATTTGAGAGAACGGAAAACCAGGGGGGGCGGGGGTGTTTCACAAAGATCCTAAGTCGAACTTAACTCTAAGTTGGACTTAAAAATTATGGTGAGCCAATTGTAGTCTTAAAATAAAATATATTCAAAAGCCTATTTTAGACTTTTTATAAATTCCACATCAAGAACATGGAATCTCCTTGATAATAGAAAATATGAATGATTTGAATCAACTCTTGCCTTTTAAAATAACTTTTACAGAATATTTTCATAGATGCTAACAGCTTTCCATAATTGTTAAGATCAACTTAGGATCTTTGTGAAACACCCCCCAGGCTTGAATTCTTACCTAGGGCATTTCGGTCATCCCCGTAGATCTTTGCTAGTTTCTGAGTCAGGCACGTCAGCTTGGGTGTAAGGCCAGCATGGTCCGTCTGTGACAAGCGTTTTAGCTCCGGTATCTGCTCATTGACCATTCTATAACATCTACTTCCTGCATTACAGATCAATATCACATTAAAAAATAAAGTTGTGTGATGGTCATGCAATTATTTTGTAAAAGAATAGAATATAGAATATAATTTATTGTCTTCTTCCAAAGCAAAAGAAGAAACTTTCCTTCCAGATGATCATACATAAAATTACACAACTTATACAAAGCTTATAATATAAATACAATCATACCAAAATATAAAATGCATAAAAAGTATGAATAAATAAATAATACATACTGTACATGTACATATCATACAAATTACATAGAACATAAGGATAAGGGAAAGAAGACAAAAAGGAAGAAATAGAGTAGAATATAGAATGAGGGGATTAAAGGAAATTGAGGCCCAAGGGTCACTGTTATGAAGTTTGTTTATCCCCTTCGAGGCGCAGGTAATGCTAAATCATTAGCAATGATATTAGGGGATAGAATTAAAAGAGAAGTTCATGTAAATGCTGGTTCACCATCTTTGAACAACTATTACCTGCATTACATCTTCAGTTAGTATGGACTATCAAAATGGGGTGAATCTTTTGTTCAGGCTATTTGCCAAAATATCATCACTCTTGGCACGAAGCCTTACTGTGTCTTACGCAGCAATTACAATTGCAGTCAAACCTGCTTTAGCAACCACCTGTGTAGAATGGTCATCTGTGTATAATGACCTCATTTTTTCCTGGATTCCCCTGAAATGGTGTTTCTCATTGAAACTGTTATTACATTAACCACTTTCTGGGTCTCCCTTGGTTGGTTTTGTCGGTGTCTTGGTCGAGTGGATATGTAACGGGCCGGTATAGTACGGGAGCTAGGGGGGTCAACCTAGCTGGAAAGGAAACCAATTTTCATGTGCACAGATGTAAAGATCTCATAGCTCCACATAAGAAATTGACCATCTGGCATGTTAGTATATTAGTATACTGGTGTGCATGCTGCCGCTCTATATCTGCTGGAGCTAGATAGAGGCGATCGCACAAGGACCGAAACGTGGAAAAGTTTTTGGTTGTGAAAATCTTGAATCCTCTGAAATCTGGTAATTCCAAAAGACCAGCAAATAATGAACCTCGACCAGTAAATCAACCGAAAGCTAAATTCAGTAAAAGGAAACCAGTTGGCGCGGTGACTATACGGGCTTGGACCAGAAATTTTGTACAGAGGGAGGAGATCTGACCATTAGCTGCATGTTATAACTTGTAAAGTTGTAAGAGGAAAATAATGCTGACAATGATGAAATAGCAAAGAATTTAGGAGTATCATGGGTACCACCAATTCAATGGAAATTTGTATTAAAAAAAGAGCCCCCGTCAGTACTAAAAGAGCCCTGTGAGGATGATTACAGGGGCTCTTTTTTTTTTGGAAGAGCCCCTGTGTACAAAAAATTAATTTGAGCCCTGGCTTTATCAGAACAAGCTATTATTATTATTACAGGTTTCACTGCGTACATGTCTGAAGCGTTACCTGATGATCCATTGAAAGCATGGTCCGTCTTAAGCTTCTCCACCTCCTTGAGCTGCGTCATGGCCTCCTTGGGGCGCAGGTCTTCGTTCACCATCAATACCTCATTCAGCTTCACCAGGAACATCGCTGGGGCGTACTTCCCCTCGTCCCGGCATAGCCTCGACTCCTTGTACAGACGGACGATCCAGTCCGTGTACGCCGTGGTTCCGTACGGAGGGTGGGCTAGCTTCTTCTCCTCGCCCTCTCCTCCTGTCTCAGGCAGAATGGAGAACTTCTCTTCAATCGCACTCATGATTTTCTCCACCACAGATCTGCAAGCATGTAGATAAAGGAGATAAGGGATAAAGCATTTTGGATTTAATAAGATGCATTCTAACACGATACATGTAAATGAATAGCCTCAAGGGGGAAAAATTCTGAAATAAATTATCCGAATGATACTGAAGTGAATGCTCACCCAGCTCATGGGCTAAACTCCAAGGAAACCCAAATAGGATGGCTTTCAACCTGACTTTCTGGAAGTTTTTGCTGTGTACAAGATTCGAACATGCATTTAAATGAGAATTCTATCGAACTTGGTGTGAGCGAACCGAAACGCAAATAGGAACTCCCATTTTCATTTGAGCATCTTTGAATATGGGCATGCCAAAGCTACTTTGTCCCATATATTACCAACAGCATCAAAGATTTTCATACATCTGATGGTTAAAGGAAAAGACCCTTATAGAGCTTGGATCAGACCAAATATAAAATAAAATGATATATTTGATGTCAATTTACAGTCATAAATGCACAATACTTATAGACTTAAAGTTGATATTCTAAAACAATCCCAAATAATGAGATAATTACATCAATAGAAAGCTTTCAATCCCCAGAATAACACTAAATGGTGTCCAACTGACAAAAACAAGTTTAGAATGGTGAATTTATGCGAGTAAACTCTACCAAACTATCTAAGTCTGAAACCCGGAAGTGCATGTAGAGTCGGGCCTCTATCCGTGACGTCACGAACGGGACTCATGGGCTCAGTGAGAGTGAATGGCAGTGATATCCCTACGTAAATGCTATCCTGTCAGAGCTTAGATTTGTTGTTGTTAATGAGTATATTTGATGGATTTTCTGTTTTCATTTGAATGAAGAATAACGAAGCAACATTTTCCCGTCGCTGATTTCTTTTCATATCCTCATATTCACCCATTTGGTAGAGATTTAAGACAAGTTTACTGCTTGGGAAACATGCACGTATGAATAGGCAGATGCATTGTCTTGTCATCTAGGAGCAGTTTTGTAAAACAAATAGGCCTATAACTATGATAGTACTTATCATAGATGTGTGTGACTGCCTCAAAAAAAAAGGATACAGTACCAGTTAAACATTTTATGTTGTAAAATATCAAACTTGCACGAGATCGTGCAAGCGCGCTTCCTCTATAATATTTTGACAACGTCTAGTGATCGAACGATATTCATCCGCGAGTGATGCGGCTCTTGCACGAATGTTCGTGAAGCGAGCAGACCAGGCCGCTGCTCTAGGCGCGGCTTGCTTGTGATGGAACGTACGTGCGCTAGATATATGTTTATCTGCAATTGCAAGAGATTGAAAGCGACGTTACCAGCTAAGAAAAACAACTAACAAAGACTTGCTCCTGGCTACCAGTGTCAGAATTGGTAGATCGCACAATTAATGCACAGCATGGAATGATGGAAGAAGAGTTGGGCCAAGGAATGCAAAAAACATGGGGAAAAGGAAGAAGAAACCAGCGGGAGATCGGTGTATGGTAATGAACTGTGCATGGGTACGCTCCATTTACCAGACAGCTACTGTTCACTCCGTGCCTGGGCCGATTTCAACACCAAAACATAAATGACATGATGAAAATATTGACTAATAGTACATCGTTGGCATGTAAATGTCATAGTTTTTAAAAGGGGAATTTATATTAATACTATGAAATATTAGGGGAAGGTAAAGAATTGTACATAGAATTATGATTTATTAGACTTTTCAGCCTTTGAAACAAAAATAAGCAGAAAATCGTATCTCTCTGCACATGCTTTCTATGGAATATCCGGGTACGTAAATGTACTCTTTCCCGGACGTGATGTCATATATAGTAGACCAGAGCTGTGACTGATTTTCTATGCAGAGAGAGGCGGATATTTTCGACATTTCATTTAAGGATTTCGAGTAGCCAGAATTTTTTTGTGATATACTATGTAATTGAAAAACTTATTAATAACATATGCTTGCCATAGGTACCAAATTAAGGGACATTTATTTGCTTAGAATATCAGCTTTAAGGCTCTTTCAGATATAAGGCAGCAGAACCATGGTAGTTTTTGATGATGACATTAAGCATAATACGCTCCATAAGATCCCATTTCTCAGTCTCATAACACAGAACTCAGTGAATACGCGCAAGTCCTTTATTGCGCTCAGTTCCCATTCATTTACACGTTAAAAAACCATAGCAGCTTTTTGTGGGGCAGTTTACCGCGCCACATCTGAACAAAGCCTTTACAGGACACCAAATGACCTCTACCTGGGGGGTGTTTCACAAAACTTGTCATCAGTGACAAATGACAGTTTTTGTTATAAGCTACTGAAATCCTTGCTTCTGATTGGTTATCAGCAGATTTGTCACTGCTTTTTGTCATTTGTCATTGAAAAAAGGCTTTGTGAAACAGGCCCCTGGACTTGCCCATACAAAGACACTAATATACAGTGTGAGTCAAAAAAAAGTTTACACCTAGAAAATTGCTAATTATTGTTCAAATCATCTATGAACAGTAAATTATTATACATCTTATGAAAGAGTGTTTTATCCCAAATCATTTGGTACCATTCTTGTGTGGTATATGTTCACGCTAAAATGAACAGGAGGCATCGTTTGCGAGAGTGCAAAAATCGACTTGCGCCAAAGTGATGCCTACAGTATGTATTATGTTGGGATTAGCGGAGTGAGAGAATGAAATGAATGTATCAAATGAAATGCATTGCATGCATTTTACAAAGGGCAAAGTCACACACACCCACACACGTGTGCACAAATGTTCGTTGATATTTGATATGTGTGGCATGATTAATTTTGTTAGGGATGTTATTTGGATCTGCAAAGACCGAATTAATACCCAAATTCCAATTGTTTTATTCAAACATCACATAGGCAACTTTGGCGCAAGTCGATTTTTGCACTCTCACAAACAATGCCTCCTGTTCATCCAAGCGTGAACTCATACCACACAAAAATGGTGCCAAATAATTTGGGATAAAACACTCTTTCATAAGATATATAATAATTTATTGTTCATAGATGATTTGTAAAATTATTAGCAATTTTCTAGGTGTAAACTTTTTTTGGACTCACACTGTACATACATTTTGCAAAATGGGTCTACCAACCTGAAGGTGCCTTTGACAGAGGATGAGGATCTTGATGGAACCGTCAGGAGCATGGTGTCCATCTCGGGTGGCTTGTTGGTGTCTAGGAGATCGGTCAGATTATCTACGTCCTCAATCCGCCGGATGCCCTTGCTGTCCAGGAGGCCACACTGCTGGACGATGTTGTCCTTGGAGAACTGCCGCATTCCTGCACCAAGATGAGGAGTCAAACCTGATAGAAAAAACAAGACAAAGTTATTGAAAGACGGGGCAGATTATAGCTTGTATGGACCCAAGAGGGCGTTCACTTACACGCTTTAACTACTGAAACCTTCTGGCTCTAAACAGACGATATGATAAGTCCCTCTTGCAGACATGTACAAACTCCTTGAAACTTGGCGAGTGTTTACAATATATCCTTCAGATATTGTATGTAGAATTTTACAGTCATAGGTTCGAGCACTGTTTTCATTTGTTGCATGCTATATTGCCGCAAACAGAGCTGTTCTCAAATTAACATGCAAGAAACCCATGTCCTACTTGGGTGCCATGCATGGGGATTTACGTTATCCTTTAGTTCCCTCGCATTCAGTTGTTCACACACACAGTCCTGGATAAAAAAAATTGGTTGATTCTACATGTAGTGTACATAAACATGTAGGCCTAGTAGTGATTGGTCCCTTTAAATGCAGTAAATTGCTTGAAATACCAAGGCAAACTTACCAATTACACGGGAGATTCCACCGTAAGGTTTCCCTAAGGTCCAGGCTCCCTTTGGTGCTTTGCTGGCCAGGATAAGCTTTTTCTCCAGTAAATATTGCTTGATAACATCACCAAATCCTGGATGATCGTTCGTGACGAGGTGGCATTCGTCGACAACCATGGTATGGACCTCTACAAATTTCAGGTCTCCATCATCCAGGGCAACACTAAGCCTTACGCCTGTAAGCATCACAACGCAGACGGAAGGCTGGTCAAAGACCTCCCGGAACTTGGAGGTGTTGTCCAGGGCAACTACGGAACCCTGAGGGAAGACTGCTTGAAAGGCTCTGCGGTGGCGTTCCTTGACGCAATCCCCAGGGGTGACAAAGAGACATTTGAAGGGTTTCTTGTCCTCCTTCATGAGGCCAACTTTCCTCTGATGATTACAGACCATGGCGGCGGTCAAGACCTTCCCGGTCCGACTGGGTGCGCATATGATGTAGTTGAAGCCCAGGAGTCCAGGGACCCCCAGCTCTTTCTGATATTCAGATAGCAGGCCCTCTTGATCAAATGGAATCTCAGGCTCATTCTTCTTCATTGGATTTGCTTTCTTCTGCAGATGTTGCATCATTTGCTTCTTGATGAGGTCATGTTCCTCTGGCGAAAGACTTTCTGGATGTTCCTTCATCTTTTCGAACAATACTTTCTCTATGCCTGTGGTCGGGTCATACTCTATTTTCGCCTCTTCCTCTTCTTTCTTGGCCTTCTCGTCACTCAACTGTTGTGCAACCTCAAGAGCTGGCCAGGACCCTTCACTGGCTTCAAATCTGCCCACGTCAGCATCTGGCATTTCCTCCTTTTTCTCATCATGATAGATGTTTTCATCATCAAGAACATTTGACTCGATGTCGCTTGCACTAATTGTAGCTTCTGGCATGTTCTGAATTTCTTCTTCTTCGTCCTCCGATTCAAACTCCATCTCACACTTTTCCTTCTCGTCATCATCATCCTTCTCTTTCTCATCTTCTCTTTTCTCTTTGTTTACTGGAGCACTCATATATTCTAAATTCATCTCAGAAAGATCACCTGTGATGCCATCAATGTCAGCTGAAGAACATCCGCTCATTGATATGCCATCTTTCAGACTATCTTTAGGTGAAAAAAGCTCATTAATATTTTCAAGAGACATATTACCTGTTTCTTCAATTATTTGGATGTTTTCTTGACATTGCTTGATATTCATAGACCCCCCACCTGAGGCATATCCTATGCTACTTGATGTGAATGAAACAGACGTGTTACTGACTAAAGAATGCTGAGGACTCTTTTTGCCAAATTGGTTGGATGTGGTTGACTCAGGCCAGGCTTGCGTTGGGTGGCCAGGTCGACCCCGTGACTGCACAGACTCTTGCTGCGCATTGAATTTGAAGGGCTGTCTAGATGACTGTGAAGAATCTGGTGGTGTACTCATGAGCCAGAGTCCCCCACTATCATCATCATCTTGAATGCCAGAAGCTTGTGGTTCCACTGACTGATCACCCGAAGGCTGTTGCATGCGAGATCTCTGCTGCAGAGGATCTGGTGGTTGTGCCGATCCAGTCGTTGACTCAGGTTGCACATTGAAAGGCTGTTCAGGTAAGTTGGACTTGAGTGATCCTATCCCATCATTTCTTTGGATACTGGTTGGAGGAGCTCTGGATTTGAGGGATTCCTCATCTGATGGATGTTCTACATACTGACCAACAGCGCCTACATGGCCCCTTCCGACTTGGCCACTGGCGGAAGGAGGGGAGCTAGCATTAATTGGAGAGATACTGCTTGGAGGAGCTCTGGGTTCGAGGGATCCATCATCTGATGGATGTCCTACATGGCCCATTCCGACTTGGCCACTGGCGGAAGGAGGGGAGCTAGCATTAGTTGGAGAGATACTGCTTGGAGGAGCTCTGGGTTCGAGGGATCCATCATCTGATGGATGTCCTACATGGCCCATTCCGACTTGGCCACTGGCGGAAGGAGGGCAGCTTGTATTAATTGGAGAGATACTGCTTGGAGGAGCTCTGGGTTCGAGGGATCCATCATCTGATGGATGTCCTACATGCTCGCCACTTCCGACTTGGCCACTGGTGGTAGGAGACTTAGCATTAGCTGGAGGCTTGTCAATGGGCTGTTGAATACGCTGCTTCTGATGTGGTGAAACATCTGGATCAGACTGAACACTTCCTACTGGCCTTTTCCTCAGAGCTCCTTGACTTGACCGATTGGATATCTGGCTGGCTGGATGAACATTCATCACCTGGGATTGACCCCCTGGTTGACCCATCGGAGGAGCTACTGGCTCTGTGCTTCTCAGGGAACCCACTATAGACATTTCAAAGCCCTCTGAAGTTCCTGTCTCAATTACATTTTCTAATTGCATCTTGGAGAATGATTCAGGCAAACTTTCTGCATGTAACTGAGCTGTAAGGGGGAATAAACAAAGAGAAAAAAAAATGACAAAATGACTAGAAGTCACTATCAACAAATAAAGCAGACATTGTCTAGTATTCTTGCCAATAACAGAATATTACATCAGGAAAAGGAAGTTGAAAACTAATCAAGCATAATTATACACCTTTCCTTTTCTCCCTTATTGAAGGATTTATTTATATATTTACATGTATTTACATATATATTTGAATTGATTGCCATCCTGTTTTTTTTTTCTTTCTATTTTTCCTATTTTTTCATTATTATTACAATTTATTTTTTTAATTTTTATTGGTTGCTGGAAGGGGGTGTCCTTTTTCAGTTTTTGGTTCTTGATTCTTTTGTATATGATTGAATATATTTCATTATTGTGTTAAATATGTTTGTTATATCTGTTTAAAATCAATAAAACATTTAAACAAAGTATATATGTATGCATTTTAAATTGACAAAATTGACAGGTTTCTACTGCTCACACAGCATCTAAATAGTATACTTGTGTTTGTACTTTTCCAGTTTTTCCTACAAGCCTACCCTAGTCCCAACACCTTTTGAGCATCTCTGCCTTTTGCTTTATGGAGGGGTAGTGTACCTGGACAATTATACAAATATGGGCTGTCAAGTTTCCTGTTGGATTAAAAAACACATAGGCATCAAGTAGCACAAAATACAATGGATATGTGGCATTATTTGCCATGTATTATCAACACACCATTATTTGATTAGGTCAGACACTCTCCCGATATAACTCAGCAAGCAAGATATTACAGATGTTAAAAGACCATGGTGCAAGACCCGGAAACTGGGACACCCCCCCCCCCCCCTTGAAGTTAGACATGGAAGCTTGGCAGCTAGAGACAGCTTTCTACCAGAAGCTTTGGTATTCAGGTATTCAGGTATCAATTTATATAGTGCAGTAGTCTACTAAAATATAAATATTCTCTTCATCAACAACCTCCCAGAGTATGTTTCAGCACAGTCTATGGTGAGGCTCTTTGCTGATGACTACATCATGTACAGAAAGGTCAAGACAGAGGAAGATACTGAACAACTGCAGAGGGACCTGGATGCTCTTCAAGTATGGGAAGCAGACTGGCTTATGCAATTTCACCCGCATAAATGCCAAGTTGTGCATGTTACCAATTAGAGGAAGGTACTCAACAGCTCAACACCCAACTGCATCCATGACATGCCTCTGATAGAAAGTGAGAAAACCAAATGCCTTGGTGTTAACTTCCAGGTAAACATGAAGTGGAATCACCATGTGGATGTCATTGCCAAGTCGGCAAATTCTGGTAGCAGCTTCCTGCAGAGGAATATCAGAGACTGCCCTCTCAGGACAAAAGTGTTGTGCTACAAAACACTTGTCCTTCCAGTACTGGAGTATGCTGCTGTGGTATGGGATCCATTTACCCAGAAGAACATCACAAGACTAGAAATGATACAACGTCGCTACGCCCGCTTTGCTGTAAGAGACTTTAGGCGTACAAGCAGCATAGCTGATTTGCTAAAGCAAATCCAGTAGACTACTCAAATCAAAGGATCAAAGGAAACAAACAGACATTGCGGTGCTAGACTTCTCAAAGGCCTTTGATAAGGTGCCCCATTAGAAGCTCAAGCAAAAACTCTCATCATATGGAATCGCTGGCTCCATCCATACATGGCTCAGGAACTTTTTGACTAAGCGTCACATGAGGGTCGTCGTTGAAGGGGAGACCTCCCATGATGTTCATGTTGACTCAGGCGTACCGCAGGGGACAGTAGGCCTACAAGGCCCCCTTATGTTCCTGTGCTACGTAAATGACATACCAGAAACTGTGAAGTCACAAGTTAGACTGTTCGCAGATGACTGCCTCCTCTACCGCCAAATCGGGAAGCAACAAGACCATCACATCCTACAAGATGACCTTGCAGCCCTAGATACCTGGGCAAAGAAGTGGGGCATGTGTTTTAACACAAAGAAGTGCTACACCATGAGCATCTGCAACAAGTCTTCCTTCTTCTACCAACTTAGTGGCTACATCCTGAAATATGTCCAAGACATCCGTTACCTGGAAGTCACAATCTCAGAGGACTTGAAGTGGGAGAAACATGTTGCAAAGACCACCCAAAAGGCAAACTGGGTCCTACATGTATCTCTCCTTCGCAGAAACCTCCACTTCTTTCCTGCAGACATTAAGCGAACAGCCTACACTGCACGTGAGAGCTCTCCTTGAATATGGGGCTACATGTACATCCTGTGATCCATATCAGCAGAAGGACATCAACAGACTTGAAAACGTCCAAAGACGGGCAGTTCGCTACATCACAGGAAATTATGTGACCAGAGATGAGGGCTTCATTACCAACAAGCTTGTCGAGCTCCATCTACCTAACCAAAAGGAAAGAAGGAGAAACCTCAAACTCACCCTCTTCTTCAAAGTGGTCGGGGGCTGGTGTCAGCTCTCCTAATTGAAAACTTTGCTCAACCAATCAAATCAAAACGATATATCCATGCAAGACAATTTGAAAACTGTAATACCTCAAATATCATAGACAGACAAGTGACAAACAACAGCAAGTGCTACAACCCCATCAGAGCACAAACTGAAAAGTACAGGAGCTCATTCTTCCCATCTACCATCATTGAATGGAACCATTTGGACGAAAACACCATAAGTCCAAATCAACCAGTACTTACATTCAGGAAGGCCATTGACAGAGCCTTCTAAGTACCCCCGCGCCCTCTCTCTCTACTGATGCGTTTATGCCCACACATCCAGATCCAGACCACACTTCAGGAAAGAAGGGCACAACAGAGAGTACATGTATGTACTTAACCAGAAGAAGAAAAAGATGGAAAACAAGTTTGAAAACCCTCCTAGAGTGCTACATGTATATGGGACACACAAACAGGCAATTAATAAGCTTTTGACAAATTCAAAGTGTAAATGTATATTGAGTTGTCTTTTCTTGTCATGCTTGTAAACCCATTCCATTCTAGACCGAATTTTTCTGTCTCTTTCATTCGTTAGCCTCTCATTTGGGTAAGGTCGGCTCTCTCTTTAGAGACAGAACAGCCCTATACGCTTTAGTGGACGTGCGTTTGTGTAAAAAAACGTTACACAAAACTTGGCCAACCTTAATCCCTAGTTTTGATATTTTACCGGATGCATATCCGATGTATTTATACTCCAAAATTAGCTATATGCTTAACTACTTCGGTTTTACTTACCAACTTGACTACTTGAATCCGTCTAATGGTCCCTTTTCAGGAAATTATGGGTCAAGATCGACATCCATGAAGAAAATCTTGCAGCCAGGTTGCGTATGACGTCATCTTAATCTCATTCCTTCTAGTCTACGCCGAAGGCAAAATGATTATAATGGAAAAACTGTGGATGTTATTACGAACTCGTAGCTCGTGCACAGTTTTTCCATTATAATCATTTTGCCTTCAGTGTACACTAGAAGGAATGAGATTAAGATGACGTCATACGCAACCCGGCTGCAAGATTTTCTTCATGGATGTCGATCTTCACCCATAATTTCCTGAAAAGGGACCATTAAACGGATTCAAGTAGTCAAGTTGGTAAGTGGAAATGAAGTAGTAAGTTAAGCATATCGTCGGTGGGGTGACAAAACCTTGTATCTCAAAAATCATGAATCTTCAGGAGAGCGAAAAAACATTTCCTGTCTCAATAGACTTAGTGCTGTGACACCGTCCTTTGTGTGGAATTTTTTGAAAAAAAACGAGACAGGAGGCGTTCCATGGATTTATCAGGTGGAGTCGTAGGCTATTACGTACATAATGATGCAAACAAATCAAAATCTCAAATAATTGAGATACAAGGTTTTGTCACCCCACCGACGATATAGCTAATTTTGGAGTATAAATACATCGGATATGCATCCGATGGTATTAAGTTTGGCCAAGTTTTGTGTAACGTTTCTTTACACAAACGCGCGTCCACTAAAGTGTATAGGGCTGTTCTGTCTCTAAAGAGAGAGCCGACCTTACCCAAATCAGAGGCTAACGAACGAAAGAGACAGAAAAATTTGGTCTAATTCCATTCAAGCTCTCATTCACCAATCTTTCTCTTCTGTCCTCTAAATATTAAAAAAAATAATAATTCAAGGCAATTTTTTTGATTTATGACGGTAGAATCGTAGCTGAGTAGTCTACTTACATTTTGTACGAAACATTCTTTCGACCTCATTCTTCAACCTTATGTGTCGCAAGCATTTAAGGTCTCCAAGAATACAGTCGTAATGTTCCTCTGTAAAGATGTCTTGATTTTCCATATGTGTGAAAAATTTGAGGATATCATTTCCAAATGCTTCTCGATCTCTGCGCGGTACATCATCTTTTCTGAGAAATACCCAATTGGCTACCTCCTCCTTATTTAGATGATCCCTAATGTGAAGCAAGATCTCTGGATAAGATTTTACTGTATGTAGTTTTGGTGATTTCGGAGAAATACTCGGGTAACTCAAACTCGGAGTCAAGCCTGCGCCTGCCATTTGTGGTGATGTCTGAGATGTACCCGGGGAACTCGAACTCCGAGTAGGCCTAGTAGGCAAGCCTGACATTTTTGGAAATTGCTCGTCACGTCGTAAGTACTAGTATTATTAGTGTTAGGAAACGCTGATGAAGAAACCCAAGTCCACAAACAGAATGATATGATCGAAAATCGTGCACAAAATGTCGAAACCTAGCTCAGGCCAGGCCGAGCTAAAAGCGGATGTACGCGGAAATAGTACATCGCAGGCGCATTCTATGTACGTGTGTACAGCTAGCTTGTAGTAGCTCTGACTGGGTGGACTTTTTGGAAGAGCATAGGTAATAGTAGACTTCGTATATGTCTAATTAATTTTATTTTATATTTTTGAGTAAAACAAATATTTTTCATCGATAATTTTTTTTAAATTAGTATATTAATTACCGCATTAGTATAGTTAAGAATATTTTTTAGACATTGAGTAATTCAAAGTTGTCCAAATTACAAATTGGCACCGTATAAAACAGGGGAATTCCCCAGCAGTGCAAAACGATTTACAGTGGCTGTTTGTTATGTGACGTCACAAACTCGGCTCCGTCGATCGTCGATCGCTTCCGGAAGCTAACTAACGCATAAACTACACTCGCAATTAAAAAATTAACACGTTTGTGCTAGCTTTAATATATTGTGTTACTACAACAGTCCTCGTTTGGTTCCTAACGGGACGTTGAGGATTATACCAAAGAAGAAGAAGTGTAAATTAGTCTACTCGAGACTGGTGTTGCCCATATTTTGTAAGCGCGCGCTGCACTGAAGGGATGGAGCTGGAGTGATGGAAATGCAGGCTATTCTTCAGTTAAAGCGCGAATCAAATTGCAGCAGAGACAGGGACGGGCCGAGGCCGAGTAGGAATGAACTTACATGTACACGTAACGCAGGTAATCTCCGACAGTACCCAAGGCCAGGCTAGACTAACGTTACACTTCAGGTTTGACCACGGCCACGCCCTTGGAATTTTTCATCGGAATTGCTGGGTGTTCCTAATCCTAGTTCTAGAGGTTGCTGCCCTATTCCTGTGCCAGTATAAAGGCAATCACTGTAATCACCGCCGATAATACCAAACAACAACAACATTTGATCAAAGTCAAACTGAATTTAAAGGATGACAGATCAATTTTTGAAGTTTTAATACATTAATTATGGTTTATAAATTTCAAATTCAAACCTGTTCATTCCACTTTCTAGAAAATGATTGAATCAAAGTCAAAATTGTGTGCCTTACTTATTGGCATCAGCAAACTTCTCTCGAGGGAGAATGTGCAACAACTTGTCTTCGTGACGATGGAACTCATTGAAAATAGGCAACTTTCAGAAAAGTGTGAGGAGTCAGGAAACGCCCTCCCGCTTTTCCAAGCAATGAGGGATAGGGATCTTTACACTCACACTAACCCATCTTTACTACTTGAACATCTGAAAACCATAGGCAGGCAGGATGCTGTGATGATGCTGCAGCAAGAAATGGGTGTTCCATCACAAAAGAGTAAGCTTTATCATATTTGGATTAAGTCATTTAAGGTTTTAAACTCCCATTTAAAAAGAGTTGAAAAAAAAAGGAAACAAAATTCATTTATATTTTTATTATAGTTATTTTTTGTGTGGGGGAGGGGGGGGGGGTGGGAATTGGTTTGGTGGCGGTTGTTTTTCAAATTTATCAAAGAAAGGAGTTTCCTCTTTGTAATTGTTTTCCTCCAAATCTCTAGTTTTACTGGTTTATTTTTTAATGGGTGGGGGCATAACTGGCCACAATTTGGCATTTCCAAGTTGAAAATGTAGTTGTATATAATCAAGCAATTAATGAATGTAGTAAGCACAATAAAAGATATATATATAGAAGAGGCGAGTTGGCTCAGTCGGTAAAGCGTCTGCCTGTCGAACCAAAGATCCCGGGTTCGACTCCCACCCAGGCGGATGACTGAAGCCTGCGTTGTGTGTTAACGTTAGCGGATGACTGAAGCCTGCGTTGTGTGTTAACGTGCCCCTTTCTTGTTCATAGATGCAGGTTATGTCAAGTGGAAAACACTCCGTCCCTCGGATAGGATGTTAAATGGAGGCCCCGTGTACAGGAGAGTCACAACCCTTGCACGTTAAGAACCCATTGCACTATTCGTATAAGAGTAGGGGGAAACCCCGGTGTAATGGTCCACCTGCATACCCCAACCAGGCCGAGTATACGGCATCTGCAAGAATCTTCAGTATTGAACGAGGCAGATTATCTTGCAGAAGAAGAAGAAGAGGTCTGTGCATTATGGCTTTTCACTTTTTTAATGTTACACTTTTGTATCCTTCACTATACAGATCACTCTGCTGACCAAGTGCAGGGAGCAATGTGGTCTCCAGCCCCCGTGGCATGTCACGCTCAACTGAATGGTGACTTCAAAGATGGTGCATGTAATGTAGACACCGACATGGTTCCTTTCAATCAAGGATGTACTGGTGGCACTAAAGAACCAGAGGCATCTCTACAAGGAGATGCGACCTCTCCGAGCAACTTTCCAGACATTCCTGACAGGCATCATCCAGGCTCCAAAGGAGACACCAGAAGCTCATCAGCAACATGTTTTAGATTGCAGGGTTCAGAGAGGGAGCTCACAGCTGTGACATCTGCAGGAAACTGCCCAGCTGTTCCTGAACGGCCTGTTCGAGACGGCAACAAAGGCAGAATAGGCTCATTGGCCACTGTCTCTTCCTCCGCTGGATCAGTGACACCACAAACAGCTGCACTGGCATCTTCAAGAAACCATCCTGTCATGCCCGAAATGTTTCCTAGAGAAGGCAACGGAGATACCAAAGGCTCATCGGAACATGGCCTTAGCTCTCCAGCCAGGCCAGACAGGACACATGCAACTGTAACATATATTCCAGCAAGGCCTCCTCGTGGCGGCTATGAAAACCTCCCAATCCAAGAGTCACGCAAGATCTTCACACCTGCAGTACTGCCGCAGACTGCTAGACCAGATGAAACTCATACAATCCATGTGCAGCAGCATTATCCTGTAGGACTACACAGACCATTAGGCCTAGGCCAGGGTAAGCTTGAATCAGAGATTAATTTTTTTTTCTTCATCACCTTCAGATTTGAAGTAAAAACTTCTTAGATTAGCTGCCAAAGCGCAGTACAATCGATGATTATTACAGGAATTACAGTATACAGAAATAACTGTCTGATATTATTTGGGTAATATTTTAATAAAACTGACATTTGTCAACCTTCCTGATGCACAGTGGGTAACCCTTGCCGCATTGATAACAGGAATATAATTACCTTTCAAAATATTGAGGAATATGCCTGGTAAAATGCAACATTAAAAAAAATACAAATTAAATGTTTTTAATCTGTATGGTAAGGCAAAACACCTCATGCCCCAACAAAATCGAGTTGACCAATACAAGAGTTTTCATTTGTTGTTATGTGTGCATGTTTATATCTGCGAGGTTATATTTGATATATCTATGAATGATTTGTATAAAGCCCTTTTCCGGCTACATGACGTAGTAAACCGTCTAATAAATTGCCTGGGGCAAAATAAAATGGTATAACCAAGGTGCACCTTGCATTTCTGTATCTTATACATGTAGCAATCAGATACTTTAAGTAGTATGCTTAGGGGCCTTTGTTATGTAATGTGCACCCTTGTGAGGTATGTTTATCTCAGGTTCCCCATTTGAGGTTCATCCACATGAAGAAGACCCTGACATCATATGTGAACAGCACCAGAGGCTTGTTTAGATATGAAGCAGTAAACTGTGGCGGTTTTAATTATAATGTGTACCAGTGAATAGCAACTGCGCCTAACAAAGGTCCTACATATATTCACTAAGCTAAACGTGCATTGGTTTACCACCTCATATCTAAACTAATTAAAACAAAAAAATAATGTTATTTCTTGCTTTCTGTGATTTTCAGGGATTGACATGATGTATCAGCCTAGCTTTGAAGTCGAGCAGCCTCGGGGAAGGCCACCCCCACTGCCAGAGTAAGTATATTAACCCATCGCAGCTAAATGTCCCCGTTTAGTGATATTTTTTTCTTATCTTTTGATCCAGAATGCTTTGAATTAAAAATTGTGCTTGAGTAGATGGGGGAATATTTACTGGACAATTTGATTCCATTTCTGTTGCAGTACATTGTGGCGTTCATGAATAGGAGCGGTTTAATTCAAGATAAATCCTTAAAGTCTCTAAATCAGCAATGCAGAGCGAAATTTATGATCCCTATTTTCATGTTCAAATTGTTGATTTTTTTGGGTGGTAATTTTCATTTACACTGTTTCAAATGGTTAATGGTGGTGGTTATTTTACCTGACTGCTAAGAAAGCATAAATGCTTGTAAGTAAGCAACCAGATGGCCGACAGAAAGAGAAAGTGATAGAATGATAAAAACAAAGAATAACATAAGACAAGGTGATAGAAAGAAGAAACAAAGAATAGTAAAAACAAAGAATAACATAAAAGAAGGTAAAAGAAGGAAGAAACAAAGAATACTGGTAATATATGGAAATTAAGACAGAAAGAAAAATGATAAAGAATAGATAATGGAAAGATAGAGAAGATAAAAGAAGGAAAAACAAGGAATAACATAAGGAATGGTAGGAAAAAGATGATATAACGAAAGAAACAAAAAGTTCACTGTACTGCAGCAGCCACAGCATAAAACAGCTGACCAAAGGAGGTTTTTGCACCGGAGTGCCGCGCATGCGCATTACCAATTGAAACACGCTAAACCATCACTGAGCTTTTCAGTCGGTGATGTTTCAGCACAAGTCTAAACGGGTGCGCGAAACATCGTGATTTTAGGAAATGAGGTATTTGACAGTGTAAATGCGCCTAGTGATAATTTTATTATTTGTCTTAATGCATCCACAGACGTCCTCCACGAAGGCCTGAGATAACGGAGTTAGAGCTCTGTCAACTGTCCAGGCACTTTAATGCTGGAGTCATCGAACTCTTCGGCCTTGAACTAGGGTACAGCTCTCAAAGAATCTCCCAGCTGATGTACGATAGTCCACACGATGTATCCAAGGTGTTCTACCGTCTTATGGTGGAGTGGCGAAGTGCGCAGCACGGCGATTCTAACATGAGGGAGAACCTGGCCAATCACTTACGCAATATCCAGTGTATGGAACTAGCTCATGACCTGGAAGGAGGTCGATTCAGATGATAGCAGGAGAAAGAGGAGTAAAAATCAGATTCCAACAGTTTTGAAGCAAAAGAGATGATATGGAGGCATGGTGAAGCTCAGAGTGAGATCTATACCCAGTGTGTGGGATATAGCTGGTGACCTTTTCTGGTTATGTTCTGATCCTGGTCCTGATCCTCAAGAGGGATATATCGATGACCAATAAGAACGTTATAGTTCAAGAGAGAGTGTTTGTTGCATCTAAAGCATTTTGGAATTGAGTCCCATCACCGTATTGCAGTTTTTGGGAGGGACTAAGCTTATAATACCCCTTTGGATTGATTCCCAGAGTCTGATTTTGAAGGTTTCAACTGAGTTGCAGGCAACGATGCTGGGGGGGGGGGGGGGGGGGGGGGGGAGTAAATTCCAAGCCCGAATGGTTCTCGGATCAAAGGTGAGCCAAAGGTGAGGTAGGACGATTAAGATGATAGAATCATGAAGTGGCCAATTACAACTCACTCAGGGCTAGCACCCTTCTGGCCCCAAATATATGTTATACACTCAGAAGTCATACCATATGCTATTTTACATGTTATTCCATTTTGACATGTTATCCTGTACTTTACTGGTTTAACGCTTCTTTTGTAGTACCGGTAGAATAATCAAGTTTCATTTCTATTATGTGTAAAGTGTATGGAGACACCCCTGTATCATACAACACAAAAAAAATTAAGAGAGTTGCATATACATGTACATGTATTAATTTTGTGTCATATGCCAAAAATGCACCGTTCAAATAATCCAATGCAATCGTTACAGCATGTCAAAATCAGAGGTCATCCCAGTATAGAGGCATATTTACATGTTGTTCGAAGCCCTAAAGATAAACCAGATGCATGAAAAGAAAAGGCATAAATTTCTGCACATACTGTGTCTATTTTATTGCATGACTACATTGAGTTTGACGCCGGGAAATTTAAGTAGGAAAGTGTGTTTAAAATCTTTAAATTGGCAACATATTGAGAGGACCAATCATGTTTTTTCAATTGCAATTGGCAATTTGTTTCAACTTTTCATCAAATTTGCTATCCATGTAAATATTGTTTTTTGTGGAGACATTGCATTTTCATTAGAACAGTGCATCATGAAAAGAAATATTATTGTTGCCAATTTTGAAGAACAGCATGTGATCAATTTAGCTCCCTCCAACCCTACCCTGGAAGGTCTAGTTTAAGAGCAGGTACATGTATGCGTTTTATATATATATAGGCTAATGGACTTAGGGAAGGGAGTTGGAACTTTTAGAAGATAACAGATTAGAAAAGATTGGAGAAATCATGATAAGAATCCTCATTATGTTTTAAGAAAATAATATTGAGCTGATCAGGAGAATAACATAGCACAACGACCAGTTCTGCTCGAGAACTTGTAGAGGAAGATAAATCTGTGATTAATTAACTTTGTATTGAATAGAATGTTTATATAAATCAATTCTTCATTCAGAGGGATTTAACATGCATTGTTCCTATTATATTTCCTGAAATTTTGTTGAGATTTGATTGAATGATATGTCTTTGTTTTGTGTTGCATAAATGCACAAACTGCATAAGTTGAAAGATTGTCGAGATCGATTGCATGGTATGTCTTCCTTTTGTGTTGCATAATTGCACAAATCGCCTGGCTAATGTCATGAGTATATGACTGTATGCCTTTTGATAAGACAATTTAAATACAATGCTGATAGGCATTTGTTTATGATGTATATATTTTTTTTTTTTTGCGTAAACAAGAATGATAAATCTGATAGTTTAATTTTTTTAAATTATATTCATCATTTTTCAGAAGTAGAAATATCATGTTTATTTTTATATGGTAGTTTTATGAAAGGATTTTATTAAAACCATGTTTTTTAATCAGATAATATATCATCATAAATTTATATATTTAAGAGTCTTTCATACCAATATAATATGAATTTGAATTGAACTAAATGTTTTACTTTGAATGGTACATATATGACTGAGTCAACATTAATTTCACTGTTCAAATTGCAAGATGTAACAGAAAAACTGCTCATTCTGATCACATAATTGTTTGAATACCGCAAGATATAACAATTGAGATTATGATACACTATTGTAAATTTTAAATAACATCATGGTAAATGAAATTAAGCACTCCTGAACAAGTTGTTAACATCCTGCTCATTTTATACAGTACTTTATTCACATCTCTATCTTAAGAATATATTTTATTCACTAGTAATATACTCTATAGTCTTTCATAGTAATGCAATATCAATAAACCGGTAATAAAATGTTTGTGAATTTATTATGAACAATTATACAGTTATACTATGTTGTACAATTCAAAAGATTGGTTTGTCATTGTAATCCAGCTTTTATAAACACATAATTGTATGAATACTGCAAGATATAAAATTGAGATTATGATACACTATTTAAATTTGTCAATAACATCATGCTAAATGAAATTAAGCTCTCATAAACAAGATGAACAAATGCTGCTCATATTATACAGTACAGAAAAGTATTACATCTCTGTCTAAAGAAATTATTATATTCACTCCATAGTCTTTCATAGCAACGTAATACCAATATACCAGTAATAAAATGTTTGTGAATTTTTTAGTGAAACCTTAAACAATAAGACTACATTGTACAATTAAAGAGCATCTTTTTGTCATTGAAATACAAATTTAATGAACAATGCTGCCAAAGGCCTTTGATCTTTATATTTTGAAAACGTTTTTACACATTTCACATTTTATAAAATCTTTCATTTTCATGAGTGTACCGCATAGAGTAAATACTGTATACTAAAATACTGTGTTAATTAAAGTAGAACCAACTTACCACAAAGTAAACAAACCAGTACTATTTGTGTGTGGTAACAATGAAGTAGAATGATGAAAATCATAGCAGTTATGACATTAATGTGTGCAGAATCTGCATTCACTGGAACTTGATTGTACATGTATTACACTTTTTATACAATGTATATACAATTTTATATATTTTAAGGCTCGTTCAGATAAGGGGTGAACTGTGACATTAAAAATAAATTGTATTAAATGAATGGCAACTGTGTGGCATGATAGTCCTATGCATAGGATCTATGTCTATTCACTATTAAGCTGTCTGTCATAAGTTACAGAAATATGGAGCATACAAATTATGAAAACAAACAAAAATCAGCCGCGATTTACTGATTCATTTCTGAATAAGGAATGATAGGCCCAGAAACTTTGTCAGTGTGCATACATCATTGTATAAATGTCATTTGACTTACATTATTGTGTACAGCTTGCTTCAATGTTAGATGTTTGTGTTTTATTTCAATACAGCTAGGTTTTGACCATTTTACTCAGAATAAAATTGGAAAGAAGGAATTATTATTGAATTTCAGGAAGTGATATTTTTTCTTCTCTCTTATCTTACACGATTAGCACCATATATCATTATTGGAAGATAGTATATTCAAGTTAATGCATATAAATCTCTCAAACATTATTGGCTATTAATTACACAAAAGCTTGCCCGATGTAGCAAAAACTGAGGTAAGCAAGATAACATACATCGAGTGAATGACAACACGAGAAATATGAATCAAAATGTAAATAATTAATTCATTATTTCTAAAGCTTTGAATCACAACACGAGCATCGATGGTTCACCAGTGATCTATCGATGTCTTCTACCCTCGCACATCCTGCATAATTAACAAAGACAATATAAAATAAACAAGGAGAAAATCAGTCAAAACTTGTTTTTCAATATGTCAGGTAACGAAAGGAAATTGAATAAATGAATAACAAACATGATAATAATAATGACTATTTGTACAGTGCCATATCCATTTCGCAGAAATGCTCAAAGCCGCGATGAGAATTTTTAAAAGCTATAATTAGATGTAATTGCAATACAGAGTACATGGACAATATAACTAAGAGTAAAATAGAGGACATCGAAAAAAGAAGGTGACGTAAATATACTCTATGGAAATATTCATGAATGACGTAGATGAAATGTGGAAATATTGAAGTAATTAATCAAAAGCTTTTTTTGAACAGTCGAGTTTTGAAAGAAGACTTGATTGAGTTTATACGGTTGCTATCATGATTCCATAGAACTGATCAAGCAAGTGCAAAAGATCACCCCCATGAATTTTGTGTTTTAGGACTACAAGAAAAGAAGAGTTTAAGATCTGAGTTGTACTTGGGGCAAGTATCATGCGGAATTGCAAATAATGAAAAACAAGTAACAAAATAAGCAGCTCAGCTATTAAATTGGAAAATACGGCGAAGATGAACGGATGCGGCGAGGATCAACGGAGGCGGAGAGGTGGACAGAAATTGTTCACAGTTCTAGGAAACCTAACCCCTGGACATCCACCCTCCGGACAACCACCCCTTGGTTAACCACCCTCTGGGACAATTACGGTACTATCGCCTAGGACGACTACCCCCTTGCCTAGGGCAACCACTCTCTAGGACGACTACCCCCGGGACAATCACCCTCTAGGATGATTACCCCCCCCCCCAGCTAAGTATCCTCTAGGACAACACTACCCCGGACAACTACCCCCAGACGATCATTTCAAAGACTCACAGAAGAGGACACAAACTGACCCCTTCATTAATACAATATTAATAATTTAATTATAATAATTTTTTCCACTCGGCCCTTTTAACATATTTTGACCACCATTATAACAACAATATTGCCTAACTTTTTTAGGGCAAGTTGTCTTTTTTCATTTTGAAGAAATACAATGTAGTGTAGACACTTCCTTTCATCGCTGAAGTTATAGCATGAACTTGCTAAGAGCCTTGACTAACCTGATAAAGCCATAGCTCTGCTAAACTCATCCTTCAAAATGTCCAGGAGATCTGTCAGCCCTTCTTCACCCTAGGAAATGATTAATGACAAAATTAATGAAAGTCGGTAAATTTATTTTGAAATACCTCAGAGCCTATTATTAATACACTTGACATAAACAAATGATGTGTGCATGACACGGACGCTACGAATGTATTTAAGGCATTTATTCAAAATGTTAAATCATAATGATTGATGGCCAATGCCATTCGGGAATTCAGATATATAGAAACTGATGTTCTTTCTATAGAATTTCCTTTGACGAACTTCTCTAGCAACTCGTGTAGTCAGAATCCACAGTGCACATTATTTGTTGCGATGTCAGGAAATTACCTCGGGCATTCTGTCGGCCAGACAGGGCAATCAATCATACTACAACTCAACTCCCCCCCCCCCCGAGATAAATGGAAGGTTGGGGCTCACGTTGCTATAACAGAAAATGAGAATGAGATTTTTGAATACCCCCCCCCCCCCTCTCTAACGCCCCTCTGATTTATCCTACATACCCCGCACGCTATGCCATAGATAGCGGGCCGACCGATGAATGCTGCCCGAGCGCCCAGGGCGAGTGCTTTGATGATGTCCGTACCAGTCCGTACACCTCCATCTACATAGACCTCGATATTGGTGTCTCGTACTGCTTCTACTACCTCGGGGAGTGCATCCAACTGAAAGAAGAAAAATAAAAGATAAAAATATAAACAGACAATCAAACAAATAAATAAATTAATGAATAGAAAGATAGATAGATTAAACATATAAAGTGAATAAATAGATACATAAATACATAGATTACAAAAACTATAATTAAATGTGATAGTATAGGCCTACAAATCAAAACTACAGAGGGCAGTGGTATTTGAACTTTAACAAAATTGCTTCTGTTTTGGTTTGTAAAATCGCTAGTATGAGGGAACTCAGTTTACAAAAAGTAACGATTTTAGACAGGATCAAATACATATTCATAGCTTAATACAAACAAGTATCGTAACAAGCAAATACATATCGATTTCTGGAGAATATGGGGGTCTAAATTTTAAGGGGCACAAAATCACATTATTGAGGCACATTAATTTAGGAGTGAACGTAAGGAACAAGTATACCACTTACGAAAAGTACTTTGTATCTAGTGAAAAGGGTCCTCTATATCAAAGCGGAGCTTGGTCGGTCCAAGTCCCGTTTAGATATTTGTTTTTTACCGGTTCAATTCAATGAACTGAATTAAATGAATGTGAGAGTTTTCTATTTTACCGGGGCGATGGATGTGTCGAGTTGTCGTCCGCCATGTGCCGATACCATGATACCATCTACACCAGCCCCGACAGCCTCCCGAGCCATCTCACCTGGTATATGTTATCAGGGTGAGAGAGGGGAGGGATAAAGAAAGAGAAAGAAAGAGAGAGAGAGAGGAGTAAGAAAAAGGATGAGAGAGATTCAAGGGGGAAGGGATGGAGTAACAGAAATAGTGGAGATGAATGATAATTTTGTTGTTGTTCATATACTACCACTTTGCAATCAACCCCTTGGTCATTCAGTAGATATACCATAAAAATAACTTCTTCGTCATCCAGTAAATATACCATCAAAATCACTTCTTCGCTATCCACTAGTTTATACCATCAAAAATCACATCTTCGTCATCAATATGATTGTATTCACCGCTTCATCATTCAGTAGATATATAATTGAAATCACTTCTTCGTCATCCAATAGATATACTGTACAATCAAAGTCACTTCTAATTCGTCATCCATTATAAAATAACCATGAAAATAACATCTTCAACATCCAGTAGATATACCATCATAATCACCGCTTCGTCATCCAGTGGAATATACTGTACCATCAAAGTCACTTCTTCGTCTTCCAATAGATATACCATCATAATCACCGCTTCGTCATCCAGTAGACACGTCACTTCTTCAGTAGACGAGTCACTTCTTCGCCGCCAGTAGTCCATTCTTCATCGTCCAGTCGAATATACTATACCATTAAAGTCACTTCTTCGTCATCCAGTTTATATACCATCGTATTCACTGCTTCGTTATCCAGTAGTGAACTGTACCATCAAAATCACATCTTCGTCTTCCAATAGATATACCATCATAATAAACGCTTCGTCATCCAGTAGACACGTCACTTCTTCAGTAGTCGAGTCACTTCTTCGCCGCCAGTAGTCCATTCTTCATCATCCAGTAGAATATATACTGTACCATCAAAATCACATCTTCCTCATCCCGTAGTTATACCATCAAAATCACATCTTCGTCATTCCGTAGTTATACCATTAAAATCACATCTTCGTCATCCAGTACATATACCATCAAAATCACATCTTCGCCATCCAATAGACTTACTATCATTATAACTTCTTCGTCATCCTGTAGATATTCATTTACCATCATTAAAACCTCTTCGACATTCAGTTAATATTCATGTACCATCAATATTACTTCTACGTCATCGAGTAGATATACCATCAAAATCTCATCTTCATCATCCCGTAGTCAAACCATCAAAATCACATCTTCGTCATCCTGTAGTTATACCATCAAAATCTCATCTTCGTCATCCTGTAGTTATTCCATCAAAATCACTTCTTCGTCATCCAGTAGACATACCATCATTATAACTTCTTCGTCACCATGTAGATATTCATTTACCATCAATATTACCTCTTCGACATCCAGTTAATTTTCATGTACCATCAATATTACTTCTTCGACATCCAGTAGATATACTATCAAAATGACATCTTCGTCATCCAGTGGATATACAATCAAATTACTAATTCGTATTATAGTGGATATATCATTAAAATCACTTAGGCGCATCAATAACAAGACCCTCCACATCATTTTGTTCAGTTGAAGAGTGAATAAGCGCGTCAACCTTTCATCTTTCTTTTCACCAAGATGTATGTGTAACGTTACAGTGACATAGGTAGATCCTGACCTTGTAACACTACTTTAAATCAAGCGAAGACGTGACATTTAGAGCCCCCTCAAAAACGGGGTCATTTTCATAAAGCACAAATCCTGAATTTGCACAAATCGTTCATGAATCAATGACATACCTGTTAGTATCCCTTTGACGATGACGGGGATGGAGGAGATTTTCTTGAGCCATCGGATGTCGTCCCAAGTAGGTGCATCATCGATGGTATCAGCCAAGTCCCAGAGGAGCGGGTCCCCGGCAGCTCTTGCTTGATCGGCCTCTTCCTTCATCATCTCCATGTTAACCCATCTACGGTCACAAGAGGAAACTATACATTATCCATTTTTATTTATAATACACGATCGCAACTAAAATCGAAAAATCTACCTAGTAAAGCATTTTCAGTAGCGTTTTGCAGGGGCGGATCTAGCTTTTTGCTAAGGGGGGGGGGGGGGTTGACCAAAATAATGATGATGCAGAGCATCGTCCACGAGCCGCGAAGCGGCGAGCCGATTTTTTTTGGGGTGTTTATTTGAACCCCGTAAGTGATGTTTTCCTGGCATCTATTAACACAATGGAGACCATAAAAAGCAGTGCATGATAACGTCTTTTTAAATCAAGTACCAGTTAAATACACAGTTATATCCAGAGTTATCATGTGTTTGGTTAAGTTACCAGATGAGTTGAATATCTTCTCACAATATTTGCACTTGAAAGGGTTTTTCTCCAGCGTTTTTTTTTTTTTTTTTTTTTTTTAGGGGGGGGGGCCGCCCAAGGGGGGGGGGGGAGTTTAAACCCCCTAACCCCCCCCCCGTAGATCCGCGCCTGGTTGTGCGTCAACTCTTGAAATGTGCGAACGTGACTGTGAGGTATTACGTAATCCTAACATGATTTCTATGGGATGTACGATAGAGTATTGAAATTGCCCTTGATTTTTTTTCGAAAATAGTTGCGATTAAACACAAAGAGGAACGGTCTGTCAGCAACAAAATGCTGGGTCTAATAATAATATAATAATAATAATAATCTTGTTTACCCAGGGAAGCCTCATCAGCAATTGTTGTTCTTCCTGAGGGACCTGAAATTATTATTACCCCAGCAATTGCTAGGTACCTATTTACACCTGGGTAGAGAATGGTCAATATGGATTACTGTCTTGCCATATGACGTTAGTGTCGGGCCGGGATTCGAACCTAAACCCTTTGATTGTGGGTCAAGTGAATGAGTCACTATACCACGACACCTCTAAGTCACTTAGGCCAAAATACTGGACTTGTGCCCTTTTTCCTCTCATGAATTATGCAATATGTCAGCTGGTAATTCAACCATGTCACCAACACCACCCCCCCCCCCCAAACAAAAATACACTGGGAAATCTGTACATTATCATGATTATCAGCGATACCGGGAGGAGATCGATGATGATGATGATGATGATGATGTTGATGATGATGACAGTCTATAGTGGTGATGGTGATAATGATATTGAATTTAAATGATGACTATATTTTGATTATAATGATAATGTTAAATATAATTTTACAACTTTTTTTTCACATCTTGAAATATTATTCAATCGGTATGTCAGTCACTCTTACTTTAGTTGATGATAAGCAGGATTTGTTCGCACTGTTTCATACAGATCAAACTCCTTTTCGTTTCTGCGATACCCGTAGACAGCAACGTCCACGGTTACCAACAAAGCTGTGGAATACAGAAAAAGAATAGGGATATCAAAAACGAGTTGCACAGTTTTTCCCCTTTCGTAGGGTTCTAAGTTCTTGGTTATTTATTTTAAATGCAAATTCGACTATTTCGGTCATATACATTAGAAAATAAGGTAATGCAATTTAACGAGTAAACGATGACTAAACAATAAATCCTCACAGCCCAGACTTTAGGACGGAGAAACACACACAAAAAAAATTGCATATTTTAAAGCAATGTGTAGAACAATGGTGATCGTTTGTCACGCTGCCGACACTCTCTTAACATTTTCTATTTAAAAAATGTAACTATTTCTTTAATAATTCCCTTTCGTTGAGATTCGTTTGATATAATGTTTCCATTCATAATAACATTTTACAGCTGATAAAATTTTGTCATTTTATGTAAATAAATGAAGATAGTTAATTTCATAATTCAGCAGAAAAATATTTATCGTCAATACACTTAAGTCTATTATTATTGTGACCGCAAAACCCGAACACTGTTGTAAGCACAAACCTTTCCCCAGTATTTTGAAGTACCCTGTACTCTAACTTCGAGAGTTATGGTCAAGCCATTAACGATGGGAGGGGAGGGGGCACTTGTGTCATTGGGGGCAATGGTCTTATTGTGCGGATACAATGTGATGTAGCTGAGCACTTTGGCGAAAGAGGGGAGAGGAAAATAAGCGGGCTTGAGGGGTTGTATTGTCTTCTTTTATCTGTTATCTTTTTTTTTCTTTTTCTTCCTTATCTCTCTCCTTTTTAGTACTTTTTTTTGGGGGGGGGGGGGGGGGCTGGGATAGAGAGTGGAGATGGGCACTCGATCTGTGCTCATTCGTGCCTTCTCCCCGCAGCTAGTGACGCTCCTGTCTGTCACGATCATTAAAACATTCCAACAACTGAAAAAACTGTTGATTTAAGTGGTCACAACTGGCCCGTGCCCCCTCCCTTTGAAACCAAACTGCACACCAAAATATGTCCCCTTTATAATTAAATATAGTTTCAGAATTGTAATAATAACAACAACAAAATCCACAACGACAACAACAATATGGATGATAGTATTACTACTACTACTACGATACTACTAATAATAACAATTGCAATGATAATAGTAATAATAATAATAATAATAATAACTATCATGATAATACTAATAATAACAATGATAATTATTATAAAAATAAAAGATAATAATAATAATGATAAAATGTATTACTATAATAATAATAAAAATGATAATTATAAAGTATTCTGCCCCCCCCCCCGATTAAAAATCCTAGATCTGCCGCTGGCGAAAGTGCAATTCTTCTTTTTACCTTTGAAGCCAGCTTTCTCGGCCCGTCTCAACAAAAGTTCTGTGATTTTTGGATTCTTGTAGATGTATGTCTGCATCATCCGCAGTCCTCCTGGAGCAGAGTCGGCTATGTCTTCGATCGTAACGTTTGCTCCACAGCTTAAAGACATGAACACACCAGCGGCTGCAGCAGCTACATATTTGAAAGGAAAAAAATACATACACGCAAATATAAAAATATTATTGGTGAAACAAAGATATTAACTTGTTTTAGGAGAAATGATATAGGAGATTATCATATTTGACCTCGTACTAACAGTGGTGTGGAACCAGAAGTGTAAATGTGTGTGTGTGCGTGTGTGTGTGTGTGTGCGTGTGTGTGCGTGTGCACGCGTGTGTGTGTGTGTGTGTGTGTGTGCGCGCGCGCGTGTGTGTGTGTGTGCGTGTGTGTATGTGAGAGGAGTGCAAAACTCAGGATAAGGGAAAATGGGAGGGGGCAGACATTTTCTTGTCCCAGAAACGAAATATGAATAAAACTTTTACAAAGTAGCTGAACAAATATTACTTGCGCTTGGATTGTTCAGCTACTTTGTAAAAGTTTTATTTATATTTCGTTTCTGGGACAATATCACCTTTATTGAAAATAATGGTACACTGTAGTAACAATAATTACGATATGAATAAATAGTACAGTTCTAAGGATTCCAAGCGTTGGAAAGTGTTGGGGGAAAAGGAAGTATTAGGCTACTTATCAACAGAGCCGATTATACACATAGTTGGGCCAACTCGGGTTTAGTTGTGTGCTATATATAGTATAGCCTCACACCGCAAGGTGTGATTTGGTCCAACTTACACAACATAAAATGATGTCAAGCAATATAGCTTACAAAGACATCCTCTGATTAAAGCAAATACAAAATATAGTACATGTACTTAACGATGTTACACTAGGTGAAAAAAATTAACTAGGTTTATTAACATACAAGAAAGAGAAAATAGGGAGAGGAGAGAGGGCGATACAAACAGAACAGATGGAAAGATATAAAGTTAGTGGGAGAGAGAGAGAGAGAGAGAAGGGGGGGGGGGGGGAAGTGGGGCTTAATACATCGGAGGCTGTGTGATGATCAAGTGGAAACTTTCTTATTTGGAGAGTACATTGCAGGGCCCGCAAAAAGAAACGATGTTAATAACAATGTGACACCCTGGGTCCAAATCCTAATCATTACCTCTCGCCGTAGCGATTTCCCCATCTGGATGCGCTCCCTTGTGGAAGGCGGTGGGTGAGATGCCGCAAGGGAAGGAGACCCTGTGACCTAAGATGGTGGTCGAAAGGTCTCTCTTGGAGACGTCACGTAAGACCTTTGGCCTCAGACGGTACCTACAATGGCATGATGGAGGAATGAGAAAAGTGAATGTTAGTGGTTCGACTTGGTGGCGTAGCTCAAGAGGGGGAGGGGGGGGGGGGGCTGGGCACATGGGTTATTGGTCGGAATTGGAGTCGTGATTTAGCCATTCCCGTAAAGAAACGAACAATGCCAATAACGGTCAATAGTTCATGAGTGAGATTCCCTAAAGATTCCGGGTAACGGGAAAATAGTAAAAATTTGGATGAGATCCCCATTGGTTTATGTGTTAAAAGTTTTGTGAGAGCGCGGATACCATAAAGTGTTTTTTGTCTGTGATTCCCAAATGATTGTTACATTCAGTCATCTTTCCAGCGAAGATTAACAGACAGTGTCTCAGATTTTTTAAAATGTTTTAACCAATCTTTACTCAATAAAAGGATAAGGTGAGAATTATTGGTAGATTTTTGTGTCAATTCGGTTTATAAAAGATATATCGACTGCTTTAATATTCGAGGCCACACTGTTTCTATACTGGCTCTCGGGGACGCTGCATCTCCCTTTGAGTCTTTAAAAACAGCCAGGCCTCTCATAGCAGTCGATATATCTATAATATTTCATTTACTCTAAAGCAAATTGCCAACACGTTTTGTTAGGTTTAGGGCTAGCTATAACGCTCGTCCGACCTAGCAACAAATAATGCAATGCTATTAACAGGTCGATAGTGATAGGCCTACAATCTCTAACCCCCTATATAACCGTAACCCTAAACCCTAATGGCAAAACGAACCCCAGAACAAACGTGGGAGCACCCCAGCCAATAGGGACTTTTAGATTTGCACGTCGACACAGTGGACTGCTACGTGTGACGTCCTTTCAAGGCAATAGGGACTTTTAGATTTACACGACGAGAACGTGGACTGCAACGTGTGACATCCTTTTAAGTCACTGCCAGTGCCTTAAAAGGACGTCACAAGTCCAGGTCCACTCAAATCTAAAAGTCCCTAATGTGACGTCCACTATGTCGACGTGCAAATCTAAAAGTTCCTATTACCCACCCACCTACCTCAAATATGCAGCGTGACTGTCTCGGAGAGTGACTTCTTCATCGGCCCCGCCCCGGTAGTAATTCCACATCATTGGGTCGAGGCATCCTTTAGCTTCCTCCTCAAAGTCGTCCAAACAAATCCTCTTCTTGGAAGCCATGATTTTCAGCTTGACGTTGTTTCCCTGGTTGTAAGCGCACAATATTATTATATAGAAAGCTAAATACTTATTCGATAGTACAATACAAAAGAAATGTATTGAAAAGCTTATTACAAAGCAAATAACCTAAACGTGCATACTAGTACCAAAAGTTTTGTTTTCAAAGCAATACTCGTCAATCATCGATGTTCACTGATTCTCAATCTTTCCAGAAGAAGGGTGATGTTACGATATGCGATATCCGAATATCCGGTATTCAAATGATTTTATTTGTCATGCAAAACATAATAAAATGAATAGATATATTACCAACAAAAATATGCAATGAAACGACAAATATGATAGAAACAGCACGAGAAAAGAGGAACTTACTAGAAGCAGAGCTTGTTGAAGTGTTAGTTCCTCGGATGCTGTTTTACAATGTAACATGAACAAAGTATACTTAGAAAATCAATAAATAGAAAAAATAAATGGGAGGGAAAAATGGAAGAAAATAGTAAAAGGCAAAAAGAAAGAAAGGTAAAAAAAAGAAAGATACGTGGTAGTTGAATAAATAACATGTCTACCATAACAAGTTCAAGTTCAAGTTTATTTGTCTTTCTTCTAACATGAATGTAATACAATTTAACAAATTTATAACATGCAAAGTATATGAAAGGAACCCTTAAAAGGAACAAGTCCATATAATGCATTTAAGTGAGAAAAAAGAAGAAAGACGAGGAGACCTAAGAAAAGTTTAGATTGTAGGGGTCAAGACTCCCTCAAAATGATAACAACAATAAAACACAGCCTGGTTATATAATAGATTAATACAACTTACAAGAAAATGTTCGTCAAAGGCGCTAAAGTACTAAAACAAAGAACTATAAACTATAACCATATGATTATAAACATGGTTTAACTGAGTAATAAATAATAAAAGGGTGGGGAAAAGAGACTTTGTACAAAAGGGGGTGATAAGAGTGATAATAACGTGGGATATAGAAATGGAGAGAGGGGGCGGGAGGGAGAGAGAGAGAGAGGGGGGGGGGGGGAGAAAGAAAGATGGACATACTTTCACTATACACACTAAGAAAAAATGGTGCAAGTATGCACCTTTAAGGGTGCAAACCGATGCAACACTGGCAGCACCTTTAGGGGTTAAATCCTACACCCTTTTTAAAGATGCCAGATTGCACCCTTCAAGAGGGTGCCAGATTGCACCTTTTAGGAGACATGTTAGTACCCTTAATGGTTCAATCCTGCTCCATTATGAGTGCAATCCGATGCAATAGCGGCACATTTAGGGGTTCAATCCTGCACCTATACTCGAGGAATACTCGAGTAATTTGCTCGTACACAAATACATATTAAACATGCATGATGTTTCTTGGTTAGTAATCATATAATCAATATATCTATTGCTAAAACGTGATTGTAACGTGATCAGACAAAATAGAATAATCGATTGGTTAATGATTGCCGAATGAAATCACGAAATTGATGTGCATTGTCATAATTTGCTTAACAAATCACGATAAACGTATTTTTACGTGAACACGTGTAAAGTAATCATGAATATGCATGCAATATGCAAACTTTTATTTTGCACCCTTTTTTAGTCGATAGGGTTATTTTTGTGGGAACGGTGCAAAATCTTATATTGCACCCTTTTTTTAACCCCTTTCCTTCAATAGGGTTCATTTTTATGTAAAGGGTGCAAACTCTTATTTTGCACCCTTTTTCTTAGAGTGTAATGAAGCTGAAAGCTAGCTACAGACGAGAAAAGGAAAGAAAAAGGAAAAGGTAAGTCGGCAGTTGCTAAACAAACCATGCAGTCTGCCGACTCTCTTTTTATCACGAGTTATTACTACCATATAACCAAGACCCTCAAACTCATCAGTCAATCGCCCTTTGCCCTTAGTGCCCTCTGCAAAATTTGTGCAGTTATCCGGTGCAGTTATCCGGGGCAGTTGTCCATCGCTCAGTTCTGTTTCCTTTATAGGTTCAATCCTGCACCCTTTAAGAGGGTGCCAGATTGTACCTTTTAGGAGACATGTTAGTACCCTAATGGTTCAATCCTGCTCCAGTAGGGGTGCAAACTGATGCAATAGCAGCACCTTTAGGGGTTCAATCCTGCACCCTTTAAAAGGTGCAATCCTGCACCCATCATCGAGGAATACTCATGAAATTTGCTCGTACACAAATACATATTAAACATACATGATGTTTCTTGCTTAGTAATCATATAATCAATATATCTATTGCTAAAACGTGAATGTAATTGTAACATGATCAGACAAAATAATCTATTGTTTAATGATTGCCGAAGGAAAATACAAAACACAAAATTGATGTGCATTGTCATAATTTGCTTAACAAATCATGATAAATATATTTTTATGTGAACACGTGAAAAGTAATCATGAATATGCATGCAATATGCAAACTTTTATTTTGCACCCTTTTTTGGTCGATAGGGTTCATTTTGTGGGAAGGGTGCAAAATATTATATTGCACCCTTTTTTTAACCCCTTTTCCTTCAATAGGGTTCATTTTTATGTAAAGGGTGCAAACTCTTATTTTGCACCCTTTTGTGCACCCTTTTTTCTTAGAGTGCAGAAGAAAAAGCTGCATCACTATCCTGGCTGTGTATTAAAGGCTGTTCTATTGATTCTCATTATCAACATTTCAAACACCACTGTACAAAACTCAACTGATTTTACTCAAAATCGGTGCTTTATTAGTGACAATGTGTTTGACTATTCATGTGTGCAATTGCTGCCTATTAGCACGTAGTACAGCGACAGAGGTCAATATACGCATTAGCATTGAATCTCTATGCTTTAATTGCTGGAGTGGGTTAGTCCAGAATCTGACGATTTAATTTTGTTCTCCACCACATGCACCGTACCAACGCAAATATTCATACCCGTGTGAGTCAAAAAAAAGTTTACACCTAGAAAATTGCTAATTATTTTTAAAATCATCTATGAACAGTAAATTATTATACATCTTATGAAAGAGTGTTTTATCCCAAATCATTTGGTACCATTTTTGTGTGGTATGTGTTCACGCTTGGATGAACAGGTGGCATTGTTTGCGAGAGTGCAAAAATCGACTTGCGCCAAAGTGATGCCTACGGTATATGTATTATGTTGGGATTAGCGGAGTGACAGAATGGATTGAAAGTATCAAATGAATATGTTTTTTGCAAAAGGCAAAGTCACACACACCCACACACACGCGCAAAAATGTTCGTTGATATTTGATATTCAATATTTGATATGTGTGGCATGATTAATTTTGTTAGGGGTGTTATTTGGATCTGCAAAGACCGAATTAATACCCAAATCCCAATTGTTTTATTCAAACATCACATAGGCAACTTTGGCGCAAGTCGATTTTTGCACTTTCACAAACAATGCCTCCTGTTCATCCAAGCGTGTACAGTACACATACCACACAAAAATGGTACCAAATGATTTGGGATAAAACACTCTTTCATAAGACATATAACAGTTTAGTGTTCATAGCTGATTTTTTTAATAATTAGCAATTTTCTAGGTGTAAACTTTTTTTGGACTCACTCTGTATATTCAAATATTAATATGCAGCGCAAGAATGGCTAGGTTATGTTTAACAATGTCGCGTCCAGGGTGGCGTAACGTAGTCGCGACCAGGGATGGGGCATTCGACGAGGGGCGTTTGTCGTCAGGCTAGAAGTAGTACATACCGTGTTCATAAATAATTACCTGTCTATTTGTTTACACCAGCTGACGACTTGGTTGACTATTAGCTGGATATCACAACGTACACGGTCTACAAAGTAAGCGATAACACATGAACGGGTAAGTCCAATATCCTCTACATACAAGAAGAGAAATGATTATTGGTTGGTAAAAGGGGCCAGATAATAACACATGTGCTAAATCCATGCGTTAAGCCTTTATCATGCAACACAGTACAAACATATTATTCAGCGGTATATCAGGGAGGTCATATCCCTGGGTATATTGATAACAGTATATACAGCAAAAGGCACGCAACACATGCACAGAGGAAACAAAACTGAGCGATGGATCAATAACTGTACACATTTTGTAGAGGACAAAGTGCAAACCCGGCAAAGCTGAAGGGTAATACGGTTGACTGATCTGAGTTTGAGGGTCTGCATGGGTAATGCCATGGTAAATAACTCAGGATTAATAGAGAGTCGGTAGACTGGTTTGTGATGGTAGACATGTTATTTATTCAACTACCATGAATACCGGATATCGCATTTCGTAACATCCCCCTTCCTCTGGAAAGATTGGGAATCAGTGAACATCAATGATTGACGAGAGTCTATACATATTGCTTTGAAAACAATACTTTTGGTACTATGCAAGTTTTGGTTATTTGCTTTGTAATAAACGTTTTCTAGTCAGGTTATAAAATACTGAAATCTTGTTATCACTATACCGTAATAACGAATAAGTATTTAGCTCTCTATATAATAATATCGTGCGCTTACAACCAGGGACACAACAGCAAGCTGAGAACCATGGCCTCCAAGAAGAGGATTTGTTTGGACGACTTTGAGGAAGAAGCTAAAGGATGCCTCGACCCAATGTTGTGGAATTTCTACCGGGGCGGGGCCGACGAAGAAGTCACTCTCCGAGACAGTCACGCTGCATATATGAGGTAGGTGGGTGGGTGGGAAATATGGTGGAGTCCGGTGCTCCCACGTTTTCTCCGGGGTTTATTTTGTCATTAGGGTTTAGAGTTAGGGTTATATAAGGGGTTAGATAATTGTAGGCCTAGGCCTATCACTATCAGGCCTGTAGTGATGGCATGAATCCACTACTGAAATTAGGAATTCGGTTAGTCGCTGGAGCAAGTATCGAACAACCTACTCATGCACGGGGGGGGGGGGGGGGGGGGGGTGGTGGTGTTCTTACCAAAACATCGATCACCCGAGTCCCGGTTCTAGTTATGCAGACTTATGCTAGAGAGCAAGCGAACAAGTAATATTTCGTTACTTCATCATAAATATTTGATTGTGAAAAAGTTATGTCATTAAATATAAGCTTGTACATTTATAAGTGTAAAACGACAAGTATTTTACTAGATAATGAAAACTACAAATCGATCACCTCTCTGCATTAATATATAAAGTGACAGTTGCCCTCATATTAAACAAAGTATCAAATGGCTGCAGCCCCTACCCCCCCCCCCCCACCTCCTACAAATTTACTTGAATTCTGTTGTACACGTTTACGACCTGTTAATATTATTGCATTATTTGTAGCTAGGTCAAACGAGCGTTATAGCTAGCCCTATAACCTAACAAAATATATTGGCAATTTACTTTAGAGTAGTTCAAGTTCAAGTTCAAGTTCAAGTTTATTCAAACCAATCAAACACAACATTTTACAATCAATTGACACAAAAGAAATAAAAAACATGATAGGTTTGGGACCCCGGAGAAGCAGAGCTTGTGATAAGGAGCCCTTAAAAGGTACATAAACAAAAACAAAATAACAGTATTTAGAATAACCGATGACAAAAACATATTTACAATGATAACTAATGAGTAAATATGGGAACAGAAAAAAAAAAAAAAAATAACACACATACACATACACACCCACGCACACACACACACACACACACCCACATACACACATACACACATGGCTTTCCAGGATTTACTTTAACATATTTTGTAATCTCTCAAAAAGATATTCTCGACATGTATGTTTAAACATAGGTAGTGTTGGACTGGAACTGATGTTTTGTGGCAACTTATTCCATTCTTTGATACAATTAATTACAAAAGAGTTCGAAGCAGTTTGTGTTCTCGCAAACGGCTGATGGATAAGATTTCTCTGACGTGTGTTGTACGAATGGACAGTCGAATTAACAATAAACGCATCTTTTAAAAATGAATTATTTTGAGCAGATTGAGATTTGTACATGAATATCAAACAATTCATGGAGACTAATTCATCAAGAGGCAACATCTGAAGTTGCACAAATAAAGGATTACTTGGACTTCTGTAATTTGAATTTGTAATGAGCCTGATAGCTTTCTTCTGAAGGACTATTAACTTGTTTATATGGCTCCTATACGTATTTCCCCATGCAACATTACAATAAGTTAAGTGAGGCATAATGAGTAAATGAAATATAATAGATATATCGACTGCTATGAGAGGCCTGGCTGTTTTATAGGCGCGCCTCGGGGTCATGGCAGGATGCAATGTCATCGAGAGCCAGTATAGAAACAGCCGGGCTTCGAATATTAAAGCAGTCGATATATCTTTTATATACCGAATTTGACCCTAAAATTTATCAAAAATTCTTACCTTATCCTTTTCTTGAGTAAAGATCAAAAGGCATCGTATGGTAGCCGCGCTCGCACAAAGTAACTTTTAGCATGTAAACCAATTGGGATCTCATAAAAATTTACTATTTTCCCGGTACCCAGAATCTTTACGGAATCTCATTCATGAACTATTGACCGTTACTGGCATTGTTCGTTTCTTTACGGGAATGGCTAAAATCATGACTCCAATTTCGACCAATCAAATGGCTAGATTTCTAAAGAGAGGTATATAAAATTATTTATTACAGGTTAATGAAATTCTTTGTAATGAGGCACTGAACAAAGACGTATCCATCAAATAGCGATTTTCGAAATGTAACCAAATTTAAAGTATACGTCTTTGTGAAGTGCCTTCATACGAATAAATGCATTCACCTGTTACGACTAACTGTATTTCAATAGTCGGAATGCTTATTGCATATTATTACGGGTTGTCATGCCGGGCAAGCCATAATGTTGTTTCAGTCCTAGGCACCTAGCAATAACAAATGAAAGAAATTTGCATTCTGATTATTGATACACAATAAATCAAATGAATGAATGAAAATAAAATGATTTGTCACGGATGAATGACAATAATCGAGTCACTTCACAATAATATTAGGCATTAAAGTTGAACACATTAAAGTGGCCTGTTTGATTATGCTATACGAAAATGGATCATTTTGTCGACGGGTAGCGTAAACATATTATGCAAATTGTCTTTTTGATAACTTGCCGCCAAGTCTTGGTGATAGGTACAGTGATAAAAGCTATATGTCTGTATCATCATCCAGGTATAGAGGTACATGCATGAATATATGGCTTACTGTGTATTGTGCATTTGTAGTTTGGTGGATATAATTATTCTAAGCTCAATTCGCCACTCGATTGGGGGCAAGTACCCCCGTGCCCCCCCCCCCTCTGGAGCTACGCCACCAAGTCGAATCACTGACTAATATTCGCTTCTCTCGTTCCTCCATCATGTTATTGTAGGTACCATCTGAGGCCAAAGGTCTTACGTGACGTCTCCAAGAGAGACCTTTCGACCACCATCTTAGGCCACAGGGTCTCCTTCCCTTGTGGCATCTCACCCACCGCCATCCACAAGGGAGCGCATCCAGATGGAGAAATTGCTACGGCCAGAGGTAATGAATAGGATTTGGTCTTTGTCTTTGAAACTGTTTCTATATAATCACAACATTGCTAGGTTATACACTATCAAAAATGTCAATTCAAATATATGAATAGTTTCATTTTAAGTTTTAATAGAAATTCTCGCCCAAGGGACACTAACGAAAATCTATTCAAAATTAGTAAATTCTATTCATATTATTTAACAGTGTGCATGTACGACATTAATGATGACTTGATTTCTAGTCAAATTGACGGTTTCGGGTTCAAAATTATTGGATAGCTTTTGATTTAAACAGAAATTATTCAGCTGTCACGAGAGTGATACATTTACACCCGTCGAGACGGACAACTTGTATGGAGGGAAAAAACACATGAACATAATGGCCCGAATTCACAAAGGAGGTTTGTCGACAAACCTTGGTTTTCGTATGTCATATTACGCGTTTTACGCGTTTTTTTTTACAAACCTGGTTTGTAAAGAACAAAAGGAGGTTTGGCGAAACAAAAGGAGGTTTGAGCTCAAACCTTGGTCTGAGCTCAAACCTTGCTTTGTGAATTCGGGCCAATGTGGTGAGCACAGAGCGAGGTTCGCAACTGGGACCTCTCGAACGAGATTCAAAACCCTAGCTTTCTTAATATACCACAGTAACTGTGTCTTAAGGGATTTTAAAAACATAATTTTAAAGACCCTTATATTGGGGGAGGGTCTGATTTCACCATCAGCTCGAAATACAAGATTTGAAGTCATATAGGGCAACTCGAGGGGGGTAAAATGTGTTGTGTTGATATGCATTTAGATTTATATCTATAATGGGCGTCGATGGTGTGCCCCCCCCCCTTCCATCAAATTTGAAGTCTTCCGGAAAGAACGTTCCCTTCCCCCTTTTGGGGCTGGGGAAGGACGACGATATCCCCAAAGTCTTTTTCCGGGGTGTTCATGTCGGGAGTAAAACATCGTATTCTTCAAGTCAAGCCCCCTCCCCGGAAGGCCATTGGGGCCTCCCGGATGGAATGATGTCCCCTGGAAGAAAAAAAAAAGGAAGAAAAAATTGTTGTCCCTTCCCCCCTTCCCAATAAAACCATCCTGAATCTACCCCTTTGTGAATAAGAATCAAACACTCTTCCCTAACACTTTCCAGCGCTTGGAATCCTTAGAACTGTGTACAGGTTATTCAGTGCATTTTGTAACGATACTAAAAGCGTTTACTATTTTCTGTTGCAATTAGATGGAGCCATTTTCGTGAAATGACTGTACTATTTGTTCATATCGTAATTATTGTTACTACAGTGTACTATTATTTTGAATAAATATATTTGATCAATATATGATATCGTTTACGCTTGAATTGTTCAACTACTTTGTAAAAGTTTGATTCATATTTCGTTTCTGAGTCAAGTAAATATCTACTCCCTCCCATTTTCTCCTTATCCTCAGTTTTGCACTCCTCCCACATACACACAAAAACACACGCACGCGCACACACACACACACACACATTTACATTTCTGGTTCCACACCACTGTCAGTACGAGGTCAAATATGATGATCTCCTATCATTTCCCCAAAAGCACGTTAATAATCTTTGTTTCACGAATGATATTTCGATATTTACGTGCGTGTTTTTTTG